GGCATGGAGAGTGGGCACGCATATGCCAAGGCTTTGCGTGCAATTAAGGTATGTTGTAATACTAGTATACTACTCACCTATATCACTGGTTGTACAACTCTGACATGGCGATCCATAGAGCTGCGTAGGCTCTACGTGGTGCCGCTTTGGTATCGGTGATAGCGTGGGTATGGCTATTCGCCTCGAAGAGCGATACAAGAGTATCCGAGCGCCACACAAATTCAAAGGCGGAGTTTCTGGTTGCGTGCGAGAGTGCGCAGAGGCACAAAATAAGGAGTGAGTATATCGATGCTCTTCAACAAATGAAACTTAGCTAATTTGTTTCTAGCTTTGGTCTTATCGCCACAGAAAAGGGTTTCAATATTTTCGTTGGAGGCAATGGGGGTGCCAAACCGCGACACTCGGAGCTTCTAGTGACAGACGTCCCGCCAGAAATGGTAATACCCATCATTGATCGATACGTTATCTTCTACATCCGAACTGCAGACAAGCTTCAACGAACAGCTCGATGGATTGAGAATCTCCCTGGTGGCTTGAAGTATCTGAAAGAAGTCATCGTCGAAGACAAGCTTGGAATATGTGCGGACATGGAGAGACAGATGCAAGAGCTTGTTGATAGCTACTTCTGTGAATGGACAGAAACAATCAAGAATCCCAAGCGTCGCAAGGTTTTCCAGCAATTTGCCAACACTGAGGAGACTGTTGATACAGTGGAAGTCATACAAGAACGTGCGCAGCAACGCCCTACCTACTGGGCCAAGGAATCTGCACAAGAAGATTTCAAGGGTCACCAATGGTCCAGCCTCTCCTGGCAGCCTGTTGTCCGATCAGACCATTTCTCTGACGAGCCGCCACAAGTTTCCTCCGCTAACGTCAAACGTGGTGACACGCAACTAGCAGTTTTTAAAATTAAAGGAAAGCTCTACGCTACCCAGCAAATGTGCCCGCACAAGCGTGCGTTTGTCCTGTCAGATGGTCTGATCGGCGATGATGATAAAGGAAAATACTGGGTCTCTTGTCCTTATCACAAGCGCAACTTCGAGCTCAATGGAGAGCAAGCTGGACGATGCACAAATGATGAGAGTATGAATATTGCCACTTTCCCCGTTGAGGAGCGAGATGATGGCTGGATTTATATCAAGCTGCCACCTGTTGAGGAGCTAGATGCTGTTCTCGGCACAGAGAAATGGAAAGTCAAGAAGGAGGAATCTGTTGATCCTTTCCAAAGAATGGATAAGAGATACAAGGGTATGAAAGGAAAGAAGGTGGCTAATGGCGATGCGTTAAACCACTCTGCGGCCCAACCTGCAAGTAGCATCGATTGGTAATGTCGACACGATTCGAAAGGCGTTTTTGGGGATACTGATGGAGAAGACTGGAGGTCATAATATTATGAATGTTCATGTATCGAATGTCTTGACCAGTATACATAATCTTCATATTCAAAGGTTATTACAAGCTAGATATCATTCTGCTATATGCCCATGACAATTGTAATATTATTCTTGGTTCAAGTGAAAGGAGAACACTTGGTAGAAAAATAATGAGAAAACACTATTGATAAGTAGCCAGGCAAAGTCACCATATCGATCTTTTAAGCGCTTGTCATACTATGACCGAAATGGAATAAAATACCAGTATGTTTGTGGGTTTAAAACATCTGGGCCAATTTAGAACTCCCAGAGTAGTAGATTTTGTATAGCTTTAGATCAATTCTACTAAAAAATATCATTATCTCCCGAAAATTGAACTATTTGTGGCGTATTAATCCCAAAAGTGAATAAAACTATCTGTCCCCGTTGACCACGGGCGGCTTTACCGGCTAATTTCACAACTTGAATGGCCAAGAAATGACCAATCCGGTCAATTCACAGATAAAAACTCGGAGCTAGACCGGACCACAATGCTCCTGGCTTTCTACGAGGAGGCCTAGCTGAGATTCTTAACAATATCGGCGTCGACGGGAATCAAGGGCATATCATGACCTTGGGCCGAGTGCCAGGCAAGCCGAGCAGAGCCACGAGAATTGAGCGAGATGATGACCTTTAAAGTATTTCCGCGGAGCGTAGATCGATCAGAAAGACCCATAGCGAGACCCATTATTTTCTAAAGTGAGGAAAGTGTAAACCACTATCTATCTTTGGGCTGCGCTGCGTCCAATGAGATGCGACGGGTTTATCAACGTCGGATGCCAACTACCACCAGATGTGCACACAGCCCTGAGAAAGTGGAACACAACCCCAGACAATCCACGGCACTTTAACGCACCCTTTGAGATATTATGCCAAATCGTTCCGCGGAGATGTTCGATTTTGTGCTTATCGCTCTTCAGCACACAGTGCATGACATTTGAGCCCCTTCGCATAGGCCCATTCAGAGGTCCCAGGTTCCCACGGGGTGGCCGTGCATCCCTTATCGCCTTTCCGGGTCTATCCATGGCTGATGGCAAAAAGTATGGAGTTGTCAAGGCCTAGCATTAACTCTATGCTGTCAGGGATGACGGGTTGAAGATTTGGCCGAATCACGTTGCGAGGATACGATTGCGACTGTACTTTTTCTTTTTTTTCTTTTTCTCGTAAACCCTACGAGATTTCCCGGGATTTCTTGATGATCAATACTTGCTAGAGAGGCTAGATACATGTGTCATAAATGTAGCTCCTGATATAGGAAATCAGTCAAGCATTGGCATTGGACATCTCTATATAGATGATGGAATCTGCCTCTATCCCTTCATTCACAACAGTCTATCTCAACGCCCCATCATTTTACAACGGAATTGAAGGATACTCCTTGATTTGATCATATATATCAATAAAGTCAGCCATATTTTCGGCTACATTCACGTCCATAACTATCCAACGTCGTTCATCAACGGCAATGGCTGCGAACTTCGGCAAGCTTCTGTTCGTCTCCCCAGAAATCCATCCCGGCACCCGGAAAGCGAAGTCGATTCCAGTCCTCAACCCATTCGATCAGTATGGGCGAGTCTTTTTCTTTTCCTGGATGGGCTTCATGGTAGCATTCCTTTCGTGGTATGCATTTCCGCCATTGGTAAGTAAATATAATCCCCTCAGCTACAAACTTCGAAAATAGCAGCAGCTACTAATGTTCTACTCAGCTATCTGTCACTATCAAAAAGGACTTACACATGACCCAAGAAGACGTTGCAAACTCTAACATTGTTGCTCTTCTTGCGACTTTAATTGTTCGCTTGATTGCTGGCCCCCTTTGCGATCGCTTTGGCCCTCGATTGGTTTTTGTAGGGTTGTTGCTCTGCGGGGCGATTCCTACGGCCATGGCTGGCCTCGTTACTACACCCAAGGGACTGATCGCATTGCGATTCTTTGTCGGCATCTTGGGAGGTACCTTTGTTCCATGTCAAGTTTGGTGCACAGGATTCTTTGACAAGAAGATTGTGGGCACGGCCAATTCACTGGCTGGAGGTTGGGGCAATGCTGGAGGAGGAATCACATAGTGAGTCTTTCTTCATTCGATAAATCGTCCTTTTTTTTGGCTAATTTGGTTACCTTTCAGTTTCCTCATGCCTGCTATTTACGATTCCCTTGTCAACGACCGCGGCTTGACTCCCCATAAAGCGTGGCGCGTATCCTACATCGTCCCCTTTATCGTTATCACTGCCATTGCGCTGGGAATGCTTTTCCTTTGCGAGGACACACCCACTGGAAAGTGGTCAGAGCGACACCTCTGGGCAAAGGAGATGTCTTCTCCAGTCTCCCCGGGCTCCCCCTCGGATGGAAATATCGTCAACATCAACTCTATGCTTCCTTCCGCAGATCCGTCTAGTCCTCCGTCGGTGTACGATAGCGCCATCGACGTGGAAAAGAAGGGCACACAGTCACCCCGGATAACCGACCGGGATGCATCAGGCATGGGACAAATCCAACTTCTCAAAAACGACACAGTTGTCACCCTTTCCCGTAAAGACGCATTCCGCGTGGCCTTCAGCCTTTCCACGATGGCCGTGGCAATTCCTTACGCTTGCTCGTTTGGATCCGAGCTGGCCATCAACTCCATTCTCGGAACCTACTACTCCAAAAACTTCCCCACAATGGGCCAAACAGAGTCAGGTCAGTGGGCTGCTATGTTCGGACTGCTCAATGTGGTCTGTCGCCCTGCAGGTGGATTCTTCGGCGATTTGCTCTATCGCTACACTGGAACTATATGGGCCAAGAAGCTTCTGCTTTCTTTCCTTGGTCTTGGTATGGGTGCTTTCCAGCTGGCTATCGGATTCTCCAACCCAACGAGTCAATCACAAATGTTCGGCCTGATTGGAGGATTGGCATTCTTCCTCGAGGCTTGCAATGGGGCTAACTTTGCTGTTGTCCCGCATGTGCATCCTTACGCCAACGGTGTCGTTTCCGGCCTGGTCGGTGGTTTTGGAAACCTTGGAGGTATCATTTTTGCTATCATTTTCCGTTATAATGGCTCCGACTACGGGCGCTCTATGTGGATTATTGGTGTGATTTCCCTGGCCGCGAATTTGGCTGTCAGTTGGATTCGCCCTGTGTCCAAGAACCCCCTATTTGAATCTTGAAGATGAATTATACGAGTTACGATAAATTTCAACTATTAATAAAGTTATACAAAATCCATACCTGATATTTAGCCTTTACCCCTAGACTTAAAATGCTTTACTGCGAAGATCTGACGTTCAGCCCCTCGGCATCCCGATAGTGGGGGTGCTTCGGGTTAGCACCCCCCGAGAGACGGGGTAACACTCTGGCGAAAACGAGGGGCAGCGGTCGAATACGTGGGGAAACTGGGGGCTCCCATTGATGGTTTTTATTCTGCTCTCAAGTTTCTGTCCAGTTCTTCACCTTGACCTAGTCATCCCAGCTCAATCTTTGTCTTATTGTCGATCGCTGCATCAATTTTCCGTCCAACCTCTCATTCCATATCGCTTTCCGACCTTTCCGACCTTTTGTCTCCAGTTTAAATCTTGACGAATTACCTCGGTTTACCAAAAACAATTTCCAAATATGGCCCCAGTCCGCAGAATCGCTCAAATCGTTCACCTGAAGCCCTCCGCCGTGGCTGCATACAAGGAATGCCACGCCAATGTCTGGCCCGAAGTGCTCCAACAAATCAAGGACTGCAACATTAAGGACTGTACGGTTTAACCTATCACTCTTTGCCAGAGATGCTCCTGGCTCAAGCTGACTGACAACCCCTTCACGCCATCAAGACTCCATATTCTTCGACAATGACCGCACCCTGTTCGCTACTATGAAGTACGTCGGCACGGACTTCGAGGGCGATATGGAGAAGATGAGAGCGAATCCCAAAGTGAGAGAATGGTGGGCTATGACCGATGGCATGCAAGTAAGTATCTTGAGTCTATTCTATCTGATAGGGAAATCTACACAAGCTAACGCATATCCCGTTACAGGAGAGTCCCATTCCCGGTGCCGTGGGCAGTGCCGATGGACCCGGATGGTGGAAGGTCCTGGACGAGGTTTTCTACAACGAATAAACGGATTAAATTAAATCAATATCTAGATGGGATATCTAAAAAGAAAAATTTATCATCCGAAGAAATGATCTATCCTCTTCTGCCGGGTATCGTGCGATGCGCTTCCTATGCCTCCGCCGGCACGACGTAGGCCTGACAGATGTTTTTTATCATTAACGGCCAAGATTTTCATGGACCATCCGTGTAGTAGGGCATTCGAGGATATTATCGATGAGACAGGCGTGCTTGTGTCTGATTGCCCCTGGCTCGTATTATCTGGTGTTTGCGTGGACCCTGCGCGTGGTGGGAGTGGAGGAGGTAATGGATGAGAATGTATAGATAGACTCATGTATCCCGTATTCGACCAAGATGGTACCAGTTGTGATCCTGGACCCTCATGTCGTGCGTAGATGTCGGGTTCGATGGAAATATTCTTCGAATCGAATAATTCCACGATACAACCCCACAGTACGCGAAGAAAAACGCCATGGGAGACGACAGCTATCGTGTCGCTTGCTTGTGTGTCCTCAAAGAGTAAAGGTAAAAGATGGCTGTTTAAAAATGCAGTAGCCCGTCGCTTCATTGAGGTGGAGGACTCGATCTCAACATGCCCCGCGGCGGCAGCATCGGATGAAGGATTGATATTATTCTCGTTTGGAGTCAAGTTTTTGCGCCAGCGTGTGCCCTCCAAAGATCCAAAGTCTCTTTCTCGTAGATCTGCTGTCAAAGTGGGTGTTAGAGGGGCACTATCTTCACCCGATGGTTGATGGCGACATATCCCCTCTGCTGTAAGTCGGGTTCGAGTAAGGTCCGAGGCAAATACAGATGCAAAGTGGATCGTGTTGGAGGCAAAGCTTTGTGCCAGAAATTCGATTTGCAGCATGCCATGATTTGTGAGGACTGAATCAGTTGTGCCCGCCCTATGGGTAGTGTTAGAATATTGATGTAGAGCTGCCAGTGTTTGCACGATATTGCGTGCCCAGGTGCCTTACCAGGCTCGTTCCACGTTATGTACCGTTTCCGCATGGCGGATGAGGTATAATTTCATTATTTCAGATGGCCTTTCTATATTCAAGAGGGAAAGGAGCGTGTGATCGATTGAGGTGTATCCAGCAACCGCCGATCACGTGCATCGGCCCCGGGCTTTGTGAACGAGTCGAGTCTTTCAGACCCTGAAAAGCTTGGTGGGACCTGACCACCAAAGACATTTCCACGAGGCCCACATGCAAAATACTCAATCGAATGTTACATTTACGATCTAGAATTCCCGGTTTACGATGCACACTAGACACACAAGGAACTATGTGAGGGAACGAAGAGATTGCGTGGACATTGGGAGCGATTAGAACTGTGAAAAGAAAAAATTGCCTTGTGAACACCGAACTAATAGCCCCGTTGAAAAAAAAAGAAAACACCCCTAACGTAACAAAGTGGTATGTGCCATGATCCATCAATCTACATCATCAGAAAAAAGAAACGCCGACTGGCAAAGCCAATTCCCTCATTAAATTTTTGTAGGAAACTTTTGAGCTTAAACAGCGGACCGAAGGACTCATCAGGATTTTTAACCAAGACGAGACGCTTAAGCAGCGAGCTCGCGGATCTTCTCCTGGACGCGAGCCTTGCGCTGGGCGTGGGTGAGCTTCTGGACCTTGAACTTCTTGGACTCGGCCTTCCACTGCTCCTTGGTCTTCTTGGAGGACTCATCCTCGTCCTTCTTGAAGGGGTCCTCGCGGATCTCCTTGTGGGCATCCTGGTAGATCTCCTCAAGGTCACCGGCGTCAACCTCGTCCTCGACGTACTTGACGAACTGGGACTTGAAGCGCTCCTCATCCTCATCGGCGAGGGTCTCCATGTACTCAGTGACGTGGCCACCGAAGATGTAGCTGCGGAGGGTATCGGCGTCAAGCTCCTCGGACTCGATGTCGTAACCGGGGAAACGGCGGTCGGAGTGGGGGATGAAGATACCACCGTCAGAGGCACCCTTCATGGCACCGAAGACACGGTTACCGCTGGAGGTGCGGACGAGACCAACATCAAGGAAGGCCTTGAAGGGACGGCGCTCGCCATCGTCAGTCTCGACGGCCTCGGTGAGAGTGTACTCGCCGTCAGCCTCCTCGACACCCTTGAACTGGTCAGCGAGACCAAGCTTGGCAAGGGTGCGGCGGGCCAGCAGAAGACCGGTAGCGTAGGCAGCGGACCAGTTGGTGAGACCCTGGTTGATACCGTAGCGCTTCAGCTCGTGGGAGTAGGCAGCGGCGAAGACCTTGTCGCCGGAGATCTCGGAGTAGACGATCTGGCAGACGATGTCGCGGTTGGTGAAGCGAACAACCATGCGGTACTTGGGGGCGTTGTACTTGTTCTTGGCCTGGGTGATCAGGCGCTTGCGAGCATAGTAGTCGGTCTTACCCTCGCGGCGGCGACGGTACTTAGTCTGGTAGCGACTTGAGGGACGTTAGTATACGGTCGCACGACAAGAAAAAATTCGTTGTATTTTTTTTTTCTCTTTCAATCTTCTTGGGGTTTGCATTACTCACCTGAAGTAGGCATCGTTCTTGACAGTCTTGGTGAAAGGCTGTAAGAAGATATCGCGAGTCAGCAATTTGCGCTTCAGAATTTCGTCCGAAGCATCTTGCAAGGACCCGGCTCCGATGATGATCGGAGGGCAGGAGAAAAGGATCGAATCGAAGGCCGAGAATGTATCTCAACCTTCGTCGAAAGTCACACTCACCATTTTGGCGGTAGTCGGGGTGCTGATGGTCGACGGATGGAAAAAGAGACGAAGGTGAAAGTTTGTGCGGCGACTTTGTGGGGGATTTCGCTTAGCGGGACTTGCATCCCACCAGAAAAGTGCGGTTGGCGACGACTCCCAAGGAAAAAGGCGGGTTGGCCACGGCTGAAGGACGCCCCACTACTACACCACAGTGTATGTGCTTCCATACAGTTAGTTAGTTAACTACAGTACACAATGTACATCTTTCAGTATGATTGAATAATCAAATATACTAGATAAACATAGTTTAGTGTCCTCTCTCCTACTCTCTCTCTACTATTCTCTATACATCTTGAAGAAACGAAATCTACCCCTATAGTATCCTCTCTCCGCGGCCCCCTATAGACGTGCCTTATCCTCCTCCAATAACTGAAGCCCAGTAATCCGCTCCAGTTCCTTAACAGTATCCAAGGTTTTCCCAAGAGTAACCTTCACCGTCCGCAATCCAGATCGCTTCCCCGCCTTCAAATTCTCACCAATATCATCAAAAAAGACAATATCAGACGCCTCCGCCCCAGACAGACCACGCTTCTTAGCCAACACGTCCATTTCCCGAATAGCAGCCTCATAGATTCTAGCATCGGGTTTGCGAAGACCCGTATGCGCCGATGAAATGAAGAAATCAAACTGTGATCGTACCCCCGTCTCATCCGTGTTATACGCATGACCCTCGGGGAACTTGACCGTATTCGACAGCGCACCCATCAGGAATTTCCCCGAGGCCTTCAGTCGCTTTAAAGCGGGGAACATGTACGGGTCTGGTGTTCGAGATACCCTCATCATCTCCCAGAAGAGCCATTCTGCATCCACTTCCGGGAGAGGCGGGATGGTGGTACTACTAGCAGACGCCCCTTTCTTCTTCTGCTCTTGCTCGTGGAATTGCCTCCACAGCGTTGGGTGTCGGAGATCCCGGTTGAATGCGGCGAAGAACTCGGCGTCCATCTTGATCTCGCCTCGTTCGATCTTGTGCCAGGCGCCGTTGGGTGATGTTCGTGAAATGCTGAAGTTCACCCATCCAGGCGGGATGTTTTGGGAGATCTCGTAGTCCAGAATGGCCTGGAAAGGCGATACTACCTTTTAATATTGTTAATACTATATATAGGCTCTCCATTCATCATGCCAGTAGTATCGGCCACGGTCCCAAGGTCCAAGTTGACTTACGCAAACGCCGCCGATGTCGAAGAGGAGGCCTATCGGCCGCTTGTTCTCTGCCATGATTGAATGTGTTCAAGTGCGTTATCGAAACTTCTGCACTGGTAGGGTGAATGGGAGTGTAGATATATGCCAGTGGAGGTATGAGACTTTGCGGAGGTGTAGATGGCCCTTCTTGGAATGCGATCGTAATTGCCGAGGTCCAAAAACGGTTGGAGGCCGAGGGAATACTACACGGAGCAACTTGAACGAACCCAATCTACCTGCATATATTGGGATGAGACATTAATGTAGATAGTCTTTATTTTCATGCTTCTGTTACTATCAAAATACTGTGTTTTCTTTGCCCAGAAAATGACTACTAGTATACTAACCCAGTTCCGTTGTCGGCCCCGCACCCTGCTTCACTAACTGGCGAGTTCCTGGGCGGACATGGGAAAAAGATAGGACCGAGCGGGCGTGAGGTACTAAGTGGACACCCCCTTTAGCTATCTGAACACCCTATCCTGTCTATTTAGGAAAGGTGCTGCATGTCTATGACCACGGGGATCGGTCCTAATTAAAATAAATTAGTAGCTTATACACACCTTCTGGCGACAACTTGAAGGTGTCGGTGTAACTTGTAGATATGACTAGTTACTAACTAGTTAGTACTAGTATACCTAGGTACTTAGTTATCAGGTAACTACCTAGTAGTGGGTATACTCTGGGTTTGAGGTTATACCTACCTGGGTATATTACTATGAGTTACTGAGATAGTTAGCACTTGTAGATACCTCGGTACCTACTCAGTTACCTACCTAAAGGTGAGAAAGTAAAATTCTTGCCTCCTACTGTAGTTCGTGGTAATACACATACAGCATCTTCTCATAGGGTGTTCAGATAGCCAAATGGGGTGTTCACTTAGTAACTAGTGCCCACCTCTCGATTGTTACAAGTAGCAAGGAAGAAGAAAAATTGCTTAGACTCCCTGCTTCCTCCATGTATCTCGTGCAATTCTTTCCAGCAAAACAACTGAAATGTTGGGGTCCTTTTCCGGTGGAATCGCATCTCGGAGCAGAAGGTCTCGACATGAGATCCGGAGAGGCTCGTTTGGAACGCAAACGATCGGCATTTCTGTTTCTCCTAGTGGTCTGCTCATAATAATTTCCTGTCGCATGTTGGTCTGAATAATCCTTCGACTTTGGATAGTTTGTTGGATAGGCTCATGAGCCTGAAAAGTCATTCTGGCGTCGTTCTGATGTATGCGGATTGTGATCACAAGATTTACTTGCCCGTTTGAATGGGTGAGCCACCATTCCGCGTCATCGCAGAGTTTTTTAGCTGATTCTGAGAAAGCGACTTCTAAAACAACTGATGGCCAGTGACTGGGGACTCGACCGGGATTTATTGGCTCCCAAGTTCCATCGGGTTCTTTGCTGGACTGAAATCCTTCGACACGTGCCGAACCGACTGTCGTGATCAGCTTGTCGTCAAGACCCGCAAGTTGCTGTGCGATGAGAAATCGAGTACCGAAGACTGAAGCTGCAGATTGATGGGGGGCCCCGGTGACGGTGATCATCAAAGCTCGGGAGACTTCATCGAAAAATGATCTGCACCCTTTCGAAATATGTGTATCCGAGACCGATTTGGAGACATTTGTAAATTTGAGATAGACCGTTCCACGTTCCGATTCTTTGTATTTGCTCTTGACAGCGGTTCTAATTGCCTCATTTGTAGACCCAATACGGTCAGCCGCGAATTCCGAGTCGACATCAAGACATTTTTTTTGACCTTGTCAAGTTCGAGCTCGAGCGTTTCCATTTTGCTTTGAGAAAGGCGGGTGAGAGAGCTAGAACACACACACAAATAGATTGAGTGTAGACGATAAACCCTCACCAAAGTGTAGCGGTAATGGGAACGTAATGTGACAACATGAAGAAGATGATGGATGAATTGGAAGGAAGCTCCCATAGATACCTATCTACAATCTGGTTCAAAAGTATTTACCCACCCTACCCGCAGCCCCCCCCCCCCATCAAAATATATCTTGAATTTGTAAATTCAATAGCAGCACCATTTGCTAATAATATTATTTAGTATTAAAAAAAAATAGGTAAAATACACACAAAGCAACAAATCAACTATTAGTATTTAGTGTAATAACCTCGTACTGCTCGCACAGCAGCTATTCGACGTGGAAATGACCGAATTAGATTATCAATGACATTTTGATCGATTTTCCACTATGCCCTTTTCAAAACGGCATAAAACTCAGACTATACAAGCTTTGACTGATTATTTAAACGTAGACCTGGCCGCATTTTGAAAAATTAGCGTTTTAGAAGCCCCTATACGGGCTTAATTAAGCTCATATCAGGAGAGTGTGGCGGCTATTCCATAACATAAATCCTATGAGTTTCAAACTACAATTGTGACCGATCAGCTATATGGATACGAATATTATCTTGTTAGAAGATTATACTAGGCTGATAATAAGGCTTTAAGCCCTCTTCAATAGTATTAATATATGATAATACAGTACATCCTCGCTTTCTGGGGCTTATATTACACTCTATAATAATAAGGTCAGAATAACCTCTAATCTAGATAGCCCCCTAGACCATTTACGCAATATCTTTGCTATAAGATCTAATATTAAGTAAATTGAGTCTATATACCTCTGAGCATAGTCTGAATACCTATTCTAACTGTAAGTTTGAGTATCGTTGGACAGAACATTTATCAGAGAATATCAAGCGCTCTAGTTAAGTAAATCCACACTATTTTCGTACAAATTGATGCCTACGAAAAGTATTATATTTCTTTAGAGGGATTCGCTTCCGAATTTTCCATTTTTTGATCTTGTATATGCACAAAATTCGGCGAATAGTTAATTTTAAAAGACCACTAGGTGTCTGATCAACTTAGACTCCTTATGATAAATGAGGATTCCGACGCACAAGTGTATAGATATAGCGTCTTACTCACTCATCATATTTTCGAGAACGCCCTATTTTAGGCCGAGATTCAAAGTTTTTTCTATTAGTTGAAGCGTTGAATAGTACTGAATACAGTTTTACGGGACACGTCAAAACAGCGGGCAACTTCTGACTGCGATTGTCCACATTTGACAGCAGTTACGATTGCAGGACGCGTAGAAATAGGTAAATTGGCGCTCGGCCTTCGATTTGCACTAATAATTTTGCCAAATTCGCGTAATTGGGTTGTCTTGGGTGCTATTGCGAATTATTGTGGTGGTTAAGACGCGGGTGGGGCGGGAAGTGGGTAAATACTTTTGAACCAGATTGTAGGTAGGTACGGGGTAGTACCTATTAGTAAATATTCCCGTTGAAGGCCTGAGCCTTCCAAGTTGAGTTACTAGTAGAAACGATTGGATAAAACGAGAATATTTAGCCACAACCTTGGAAGATGAAAGGTACAAATGGTATGGGAGGGCATACATCGGAAATATACATCATTCAAATACATCGTTAATAGACGATCACAGTTCAGAGAGAAAAATATATACAGATTGATGATGAACGCTGTGCGACCTAGTCAAAAAGAACAATAGTGGTGGTGGGATCGCAGTACAGGGGGGATGTCGAGGTAAAGTAAAAAAAAAAACAAAAAAAAAAACAAGAGGTATGCGTATGTACAACAGTTGCGCGCGCTCGAAAGACACAAAACATCAGATAATAATGAATGTATAATAATGGTAAGATAGCCCAGGCCGGGCCAGGTACCAAATGGAGAGTAAAAGCTAAGACGAAGAAGGCGACTTGCTTCCGGAGACCTGACCCTCCTCGTCGGCAGCGGGATCGCTAGCACCAGATAAAGCCATTCGACTATTAATATGAGCTGCGATCTGCGATTGCTTGAATTTCTCGAAACCCTCGGCATCTTGGTGTTGAGCTGCCCAGAGCTCATCGACCGTGTTGCCGAGTTTCTCAAAGGCTTCTTCAGCACGGGCGCTGTCGAATGGCGACTGTGATTGTTGTTCGTGGAGACGTTCCAACTTCTCGCGGAGAGCGACGAGATGGGACTGGTCATCTTCGTCCACCTCGCCCTCGCCCATAGATGGGTTGAGGAAGTCACGGCGGAGATTTTGGCCGAGACGGTGGACGTGGCCTTCTTCTGAGGTCATGGCGCGAGCGTGCAGAGATGTCATTGAGCTAGTGCGAGATAGATGAATTGCGTATTGGTCGGTTTCTTCGTCGTCGACAGCATTCTCATTTTCGATAATGCTGCTGGTCAGATTGCTACTAAGGGCACCCGGGTCAATGGCGTCTTCACTCGAATGCTGAGATCCGTTGTCGGGCGCAACCGATGCCGGTGTTACTTGAGGGAGACGCGTTTCAGGATATTCGTCTTCGAAGCGCTGGATCATCTTATGCAAGGTATAATCCAAGAATTGAAGGCGTCCTAGGGCAGGGTTAGCAGGTGCAATTTTGACACCAAGGTAAAACAGGGAAACTCACTATAGTTGGCATCGTTACCAGCTCGGTCCTCGCGGACAAGGGCCGACTGGATACGAGTGCGAATGTTACGTGCCGACTCCAGCAGATTCTTCGACATATCGCGGGGTCGCTTAGTGACAACGCTTCGAGACTTGCGGCGTCTGGGGGTGGTAGTGCCACTTGGAGGCAGAGACATGTCACCGCCAATTTCACCAGACTGCTGGTCCAAATTACCAAGGCAGACACCCAAGGCCTTGACGACACCAGTGCCACCAATGACATAGTCTTCATCGGGAGCCGGTTCGTCTTCTTCGTCGCCGCCAGCGATTTCCTCAGTGCTGGGGAAGCCCGCATGTCCCACAATGTGTTGCAGAATCTCTGGTACTGGCACATCTCTGGATTGAGATGAAGATATCGTCTCGGACAGTTCTTCAGCGATGGCGCCACCCTCAAGATTCCGCAGAGAATAGGCCACAATCTGGGACGCAAGAGCCTTCACAACTTCGTTGTTCTCCGCTGTCGGAATTTCGATATCAACGGCAATGATTGTCTGCGATACGCGGACAGCGGCGAGCATTGAAGCATATACTGCGCATGCTTCCTCTTGGATCTCGGGATTTGTACCGGAAGCCAATGAGACAATCTGAGGATTTTCTAGGATACTCAAGTGGCACAGACTTGGGCATTCCGGAAGGATCTCGGCAAGGCCAATGACATTGTCTGGAGCGAGCGCGACATCGGCCAGGTGGATCCGCTTCAGAGAAGGCATTTTGGGGAGGAAGCGTCGGAATGCACCGATAGAGGTCGGCTGGACCGAGAACAAATCTCGATTATGGGAAAAGTCGATGAAGCGCAAATTGTGAAGCCGGGTGAGGGCCTGAAGCAGTCGACATATTACCGTTGGGTTCAAGGAGCAGTCTGCAAGACTGAGCGCATACAGTGGTAGCTCGGGCTCGATGGCCTCTGTGAGAATATCGATATCATCCTTGATGATATTTCCTCCCAGATCTAGACCTTCGCATTGGCCAAACCTAAGATACTCGATGACATGCCCCAAGCTTTCTCTCGTTAGGCCGTTGTTCGCAAGACCCAGCCGGCGCAGCCCCATTTTCGTGGCGGCCTCACATATCCTCTTGACCTGCCCGCTGGAAGGCTTGCATTCACTCATTAGGAGCTCTTCAAGATGGTCGCCGCTGAAACGTTCGGCAAGAGCGTCGGCGAAGACATTGCAGACATCGGGCTTGGTCAACGGCTGGGTTGATCCATCCGGTGATGGAACCTGACATTTTGGGAATGGAATTCCAGAAATGTCGATTGCCTTCAAAGATCTAGACAAATGAACAAACAAACCAATATGGCGCCATCCTTCGCGGCCGATTTTGGTATTGCCTTTGAGGGACAGCTTCTCCACAACACCCCATCGTTCGTCCTTGACGGGCGGCGAATCCGCTCTCCTAGCGCGTCTTCGCCGAGAACGCATCTGTTCAACTGTCTTCGTGGCAAGCAAAGCTGCCAGAATAGCCCGGATGGATTCATCATTCAATGAACAATTTTCGAGAAGAAGCTTTCGGACGGGAACGATCGCGAGCCAGTCACTGAAGGTTGCGATGTCTTGTGTTGTCATCGGGAAATTGCTGAGATCGAGAGCGCCGACGGTTCCGGGGGATTCGGCTAGAGTCGATGAAGGAGAGGAAATCTCATCAACGACTCTTTTGAGGACTGGTGTTTCTCGTAATTGACAGCATCGGCGGTATATCCGAACCGGATCTGTTGTAGGATGGCTTTGAGTCTTCGCGCGGGCTGTGCCGTTTGCTGGTGGTCGAGCTTCGTCATCTTCTGTGTCGGCGGAGAGTTGCAAGGGTATTGAGCCATTTGCAACGGCCTGTCTCCGTTTGCGTTCTTTCCGTTCCTTTCGTTCCTCCTCCGATCGTTTCTTCTTCTCTGCTTTCCTTGACGGGTCTTTGGCTTCGCCGTTGGGCTTCGCATCTGTTCCGGGCGTAGCGCTAGGATTATTGTTGGGCTCGGATAGAGCGGGCTCAGCATTTGGTGGGCTGCTGGCTTCGGTGGGTGGAGATGGTGATGGCGATGTGCCCTGAGCAGATGCAGGATCCTGAGCTGGAGCTGGGGTCGGGGCTGGGGTATCTTTTTCGACTACTGCGGGCTGGGGCTCTTTTGATACTTCAGCTTCCTCTTTAGCTTGCTCCTTGGCCGCCTCGGCCTTTTTAGCTTTCTGCCGGTGTGACTCGGGGAGGGATTGGCGTAGCTGGTTAGTGGGGGGAGCATCTTCATCGGTGTCTCGATGAGAGATACCCGCAATCTCCACGTCCACGCAAAATGCGACTCGGTTCAGTTTAGACTGGTTCAACTCGGAAATCTTGCAACGCTCTCGGTTTGGATCCAAATTCATCACCCGGCGAGGGCAACACACCCCGTTGGGTGGTAACTTGGGCAGTCCACCCGAATTGGATGAAAACTTGCGCAAAGCATTGTGAAGGAATGAGGGGCCTTTGGGTGATGATGAGGTGAAGGGACTGGGCTCGTCCTTCTTCTCGTCCTCTTTATCCTTAGGCGAAAATGCCGCCCCGAATGGATTGTGCGTATCGAGGGGAGAAGTGGCTTTGGGGCTCGCCGGTGAAGCCTTGAGGCTTGACTGAGATGGCGGGGTTGACCCAGAAGAGAACTTTGAGCTCAGACTAGAGATCCAGGAATTCCGCCGTCCACCGACTGGTTTCGGAGCACTCTTCTGCGACGCTGGAGATGGGGTAGCCGGCAGTTTCGGCTCGGCAGTTTTCTCCGGCAAGGATGGTTGCAGCGGCTTTTCCTTCTCCTCAGGTTTCGCGACATTATTCTCGGGTTCTCGCTGCGGCGCAGAGTTCCCTGAGGACGGGGGCGTGCTGGGCCACTGTTTGATCGTGATCTTCGGTGTGGTTTGGATGATGTGGCGGGCGGCTCATTTTCGGCGGCAGTCCTGTCGCTCAAGGCCGACGACACGGATTTCGTACGGGAAAGATGATCTGGAAAGGAGACCGGTCAGATGTTGTCTTCACGTTGGCCCTCGGTAAGAAGTTGTGCGGAGTTCCGCTGTCGGTTCGAAAGACGGCTCAGGATAGGGAAGGGTTGGGCCAAAAGACTTGCCTTTCTGTGAGTGATGGAGCCAGCTCACATCCACAGTCTGAACACTCTCCATGTTAAATAGCCCTCACTTAGACTTCCCAAACCTAACGTTAGACAGGGAGAAGGAGAGGAAGAAGACGACAACCGGGGTGGACGGGCTGATCAAAGATGTGCCGCTATGTGGCGCGGAATGTAGGTCGAATGACTGGATAAGCCTAGATCGGATGACGCATAATTGGCTGATCCCCCACTTCCCACAAAAATGGTGATAGATATTGGTCGTTAATTTCCAAGGCCTAATTCCCTGTCGAAGCAACAGTAGACGAGGATGGAGGAGACGGTGACGATTAGGAGTTCAGCTCGGCTCTGCGACCGGGGCTGATACGTTGTTCCGTGGAGAGAGTGGAGCACAAGCACGACCTTAAAGGTGGCAAGGTGGATGGGTCGCTATGAATGGTTGACGGGTGAATTGCATAGTGTGATTAATCAGGTTGGGGGCAAATGGAGTAGTAGGACTGAGTACTCGGTAGTAAGGTCAAAGATGAGAAATCCTTCCCGGGGGAAGATTGGGGAAGCAACGGGATGTGGAGGAATAAGCATCGACCCATGACATAATCCGGTAAATGGTGCAGGAGAAACCCAGCCAAAAGAGAGTATTACATATGATCGTAGTTAGAGTACAATAGTGTACAATAGTGTTCATCAAAAGAGTCCTGAAGGGGTCCACCAAGTTCCCACCGAGTCCACTCGAGTCCACTCAGTCCACTGAAAGGGCACGTGAGGATGTAACCAGGATTTCCTACTGGTCATTCCGGGGATGCTGATTGGAACTCCGCCATTCCCAAGGCCTTCTTACGGTCTTGTAGAGCGACTGGTCAGCAGCCCTCGACTCATCATCCACTATCCATTCTGGGTGCTCACCCATTAAACTCATTAACTCCGTACTCTGAACTCCTATCGAGGTAAATGCTGTCTGACTGAATCCATTGTCTTTTTTTCATGTTGATTCAATATGTATCATGATCCTCCATCTAGTGTGTGTGTGTCCACTGTAACACAACCGGTTCCGGGTATCTGCAACCGGTGACCAAAAAAAAGATGGGCAAAAGGTAAGTAAGAATAAACAGACCCTCACCATAAACGCCCCCCCGGTAGGATCGGAGATAAGGAAGTGCAAGAAGAGAAAAAATAAAACCAAAAAAAAAATAAAACGCCGTCGAGTATTATGCAACACAAAACCCCGCTCATCCAGAGAAGCAGAGAAAAGGGATATTAGAAATCCTCAGAATCATGTCATCGCGCCGTGAAAGTCCATAGTCCCATTCTAAATTTAGTCCGCATTGGGAACATCCTTGAGGATTTCCCAGCCATACTCATCCTCCGGTTGCTCGGGCTCCATCCCCAGCGCATTGCGGTATGCCCGAACCTCGTTCTGCAGGCCGGCAATGATGCGGACGGGGACACCCTCCTCGTCGGATCGGATACGGTGAGCTGTACGTATCATCTCCGCACATTTCATTGTCTGTGTATGCCAGTAATCGCGGTCCAGCCGACTGTCCAAATGTGCATCACGCTCGGCTTGGAGGAGTTGGTTGTAGTGGTTCTTCTGGTGAAGGAAATGCATATTGTTGTTTTGACAGTAGGTCCGGATTTGTTCAACCATCGTGCCCACGTTGGCTTCATACTCCCCAATGAGTTTGGCAGTCTCTACTTGTTCGCGTTTGAGTTCTTCGGTCTGTCGTTTCTCCTTGGCGAGCGCGCGTTCGAGTTCTGAAATTCGGGCCGCTATCACAAGACGAGTCATCAGCAATCTGCGTCGTATGAAGAGAGAAGAAGGGAGAGTGGGGATAAAAAGGATAGTACATACCGGATATTTCACCATTGACTCGCTGCAAAGCTGGGCTGGCATCGTCCGAGGAGCCATGTTTCTATGGCATTTGTAAGTTTCCAAAAGCCCCGACTTATACTCGCGGTGCATCGACATACCATGATATCCTCAGCACTCGAAACAATATTCTTGGTCACCTCTCGGTTGTTCTTCAGCACATCGCTCAGTTCCAAGACCATGTCATACAGATGATGAAGATCCATCTGGTGCCCCGCGTTCATAGGCATGCCGGGTGCAAAGGATCCCATACCACCTCCATTCACTTGGGCAGTAGGATGAGAGAGTGCGGGCGACATTGACTGGCGAGGGGCACTTCCCATATGGGGGTTACCCTGGGAGCTGTCGGCGTAGCCGGAGAACATGCCCGAGGCGGATCCGTTGGCCGTCATTGCCGCAGTGTTGTTCATCGACAGGTCGGCGACGCTAAAGGCACGGTTGAGCTCCTCAAGCTGTGGGTCGTTAGGGGTGATTGGGCGCGAGGTGCCGTTTTCCTCGTCGTAGTAGGAGGCGTGGTTTTCCACACCTAAGACCTCCTTTTGAAACTTCTCAAGGTCACGGCGAGTAACGTGGGTGGAACGACGGCGATGCCCACGCGCGAAAGGTGCCTTGGAAGGGGAGGAAGAGCCGTCACCCTCGATGATGGCGGCGCAATCGAGAAGATGGGATTCAGTATCGAGCACTTGGTCCTCGTTGTTGGGGTTTGATGCTGGTTGGGTCTCGCCGACGTGAAGGGGAGTCGCCCCAGACCCAATCGGGTTAGCGGTTCTGCCACTGCCACTCGCCGCACTCGAGTTGGATGAATTTCCCCCACTATCATGCCTCACGCCACGCTGTTCCAACCCAGCTAGCCGCTTCATCCTGTCAAACGGACTCATCGCGACAGTGTGATGTTAAAGTCTAGGTTTGATATACACCAATATCTCACCGCGCCTTCCGGTTCCCAACTCCAGGGCAGGTGTAAGTGTAATGGATGACGGAGCAGACAGGAACCGGCGAACTCTCTTTTCTCTCTCTCCTGATTAGGGTCGTGCCTGCCTAGGATCTACCTACTGGGTGTTGTTCACTGCCTGGCAGATTCTGCCTATATATGATGGTTGAATTTCAGCGTAGGGCCAGGGACAAAGTACGGCCTGTCTACAAATCAACTACTACTAGGTACTTGGAAGGACCTCCCTTCTTAGTTGCCATGATATCATACTCGAGCACAATTATACATGAAGCAGATGATACTAGGCTTGAAATTTTACCCGGGAAGCGTCTGACAATTTTACTTTACCAGCATCTACCATGCTATACATAGCGATACGCCTCCTCTCCCTGAGATCGGCACTGCAAGGCTCCGGAATTGCAGGGTTGCAGGGCTATACTGTTACTAGTAGGTTTCAACGGATATAACACACGGGCAGGGGTCTTGTAAAGCCATGCAAAGTTGGCAGTTTGTAAATCATGGATGTGATGTCGTAAAAAGTTATTCGTTCGTGTTCAGCAGGGCCTCCAGCCTTTGATCTGACCCAGGGAAGAAGTATTCGCCTTCCTCATTTTCCAGGATATGCCCGCGATTCTTCTGCTGTGCTATTCTCCCTCCGACCCGCGCCATGAGCATTCGCATTTTCTCCAATTCCTGAACAAGCTCCCCATCACGACTGACCAGGTTGGGTTGAATGTCTCTGGGCGGTTCTTCAAATGGCTCAAGAAGACGTCGAAGATGTTGTAATTGATCACGACGCCGTTGTCTCTTCTGACGCTTTTCATCAAGACTGGCGAGTCGCTTCCGAAGCTCCTGGTATCTGTACCACAAAGGTTGTTAGGCAGGTGGAACTTGAATCTCGATCGGGGGAGTGATGGGATGTGTTTCGAGGCCCGACCTTGTATTTTGTTCTTCAGTGACGCCGGGTGTTTCTAGTTCAAAAGGTAATTTGGCAATATTCCTAAAGTGATCTTAGTAAGTCCCTTCCCACTTAGAGCAAGGGTAGATGGTTCGTCCTACCATTGTTTAGACAAGTCCGTCAATTGTCCTACGCCCTTTACAAAAGCTGCCTGGGTTTGCGCCTCCTGACTGATAGCGGACCAGTAAAGGCTGGCAATTTGACTAGCCACATGGTGAATTGCTTGTGATGTGTAGACAAAACGATGATGTTGCTTTGCGGCCGTATTTACTAGTGATAGGTGAGTATTGAATCAACCGAAAAATATTTGAGTTGTTCTATCAAACACCGAGCTAGTAAGAAAATGGAAAGTGAAAAGTGGCCGTACCTTTATGCAGCACATCTTCAATCGCCTTTGCGCTCAACGGGCCCTCCTCGATCTCCACCGCATATTGTTGCCAATCATCCGGCAGCTCAAGGCTCTCAGAGAGAATGCGAATTTGGCTACGAATGAAGGTAGATTTCAGCTCGTAGATTGTTCGGGTCGAGTCCATAGCTTGGGTCTCATTCAGCACGCCTCATGGCTCAATGTGTTGTGTTCCTGGAATGACAAGCCCGCGGCTGCACGCGCCCAGCGGTATCAACGCTTATCAGAGCGCGCCTTCCTTATCGTGAATCACGTGGTATCCCCCGCACAATATTTTATTAGTGATGAAAGTAGTTATTTGTAGACTCAACATCTCATGGAAGAGCGTTTTGATATGACTTGAACTTCCATTACATTGCAGCTATAGCAAGTGTACTCTGATAGTAGTACCTCCACCCCTTTCTGGGGGATGTTTCTCAAGGTCTCGGGGTCTTTGGTTCTAAATTCAAGGATAAGTATCTGAAATCCTTACATATGATTCGAACCAACCTTGGAAGGTAGGTAAACAACAACTTATTTGAGCCTTAAGATTCGACTGGAAGCTAGTAAAGTATGCTCCCGTCTGTGACCGTCCCTGCTCCAATTTCCAAGGTTCGTAATTGCTACACTACTGTGAAAAATGATTACAGAATACAGAACATGATTGGCAGGCATACATCTTTCCATTTGAATCTGCGCACTAGTAGGACAATTGCGAACCTTGGAACCCTTCGCGAAACCTCATATATTCATTCACTCATTGATTCAGAGTCAGAACGCCCGGTCGGTATGGCAAAGCATTGTAATCGGCACTACCATTCGGGTCCCGTCCCTGGTAAAGAAATTCCAGATTGCAAGGGTCGATGGTCATCGTTTGATCTGGATTGTTACGAACAAGATCCCCATGACTGATATCGTCTGTCCACGTAGCTCCACTATTCGCTTTTCCAGCAAAAGGCTGGCTCTCGGTTCCTGCTTGCACTGTCCATGACCCACCGAGACTGTCAGCTGTGAAGGAGCGGAAATATCGGCCGTTGGATCCAATCGCCTCGACAAGCATGAGATACTTGTTCTGTCCCGATACGGTATAGACCTGTACGGCTTCGAACAGCTCATTGGTGGTTCCGCTCAGAATAATCTCCGACGATGTGCCAAAAGATCCTGGGAAATTGTCGATCGCCATACTGGACCTGTAGATCTTGCCGTTGTCCCCGGCGAAGAAGAGGTACATACTCTGGGAATCGCCAATAAGGGTTTGGTCGATTGGTCCAGTGCTGGAGTCTGAAATTGTACCAGAGAAGAGTTCTTGCTCGGATGACCATCCAGTTCCGCTTGAAGGATCTGTTGAAGTTCTGTAAGAGAACGCAGTCGCACCCCACTGATAAGCGAGAACCCAAATACTTTTTGGCTCGAAATAGAACAGCGTGGGCGCCACAGCCGAGAAGCTCATATCGTTCTGGCTTGCCGATTTCATATCTGACCACTCGGAGAAAAGACCAAAGTCTGTAGAGCCATAATTGCCCGATTCATCAGCAAATGAGGAATATACGAGATGCTGGTCATTCAGGACTACGTTGGTGAAGTCCTTCAGCGAGACCCAGCCCGACTTAGGCTCTGCTAAAGCATCTGTCGATGTCCAACTGTAGGCTGATGGCAAATCACAGTCTGCTGCAACAGTGTAAAATGATGTACACAGCAGCACTAACATATAGGACCATAGATCTGTCCTTCCAGGAGAAAGTCGCATGGTTGTCATTTGGTCACGTAATGGAATTCCAATTAAGAGGAACATACTTTTCGAAGGTTGGGATATCCAGAGACGATGTTAACGAGAAGGCATATTCCGAAGAGTCAAGTTGTAAAAGTCAAGAGCGCGTATAGGTACTTATACTATTTCTTGGTAACCCAACCCCATAGAGGAGAACCTCCGCCCCTGAGGTTTTTTTGAAAACGGTTGGCTGGCAGAACAGGAGAGGAACACTCAATACATGTCCACTGACAAGTGGCGCTGGCTGTTTCGCAGATGACGCCAGGCTCCATCAACCTTTAACCTAGCAGTAAAAGTTTACCCGGTGTCCCATTTCAGGCTGGCTTTCTTCTACCGGCATCCCATAAGAAAGTATTATCTCCATCGGAAGTTTGCCTTTCTAGGATAATTATCGGGAGAGGCCAGGTTTCGTCTTTGTTAGCTTCTTGTCGATCCCTTGGCAACAGCCTGAATGTTAGGTAGTAAGAGAACATGGAAAATATCTCTTAAAGCCAGATGGATGGATTAAGTAAAATATGATATCAAATGAAACCAACTGGAGGCAATCTTTTCAATTAATTATGGAGCACCAAGACTTCCTGGAACAAGTATCGTGTCAACATTCGAAAAATTAGTGTTTTATCAAATGTTTCCGATTTGCATCAAATAGAAATGAGTGATGCTTGGCATGCTACTCCGAGTTCGTACTCCGTACATACAGTGTCATCACCAGCCCGTGCATTTATCCATTGTGCCTTTGCATTTTCCCGTCGGGAAGATGTGGGTAAATTTCCCACGGTTAACCGTCTTCATCAAACAAACCATAGATTTGGGGGTGAGAGTCTGTCAGACGCTACTTGTATGTGCCGCTATGTTATTGTCAACTTGAAATAGTATGGATCAGGTAGGTGGCTGCCTGTATCCACTCACTAGAGAAGTTTTGTGGGGTCCACTATCTCCAGGGTCTTAACCCTTGACTCTCAACAGCCGGGATGCGTCGACTATGTATGTATATGGCCGTATGGGTTAGTGGCTCATATTCTAGGTACCTAGCAGGCCTTCTAAGCCCTGGAAGCTATCAACTGGTGGACCACCGGGATAGGGGGCGCTGTATCACAATGTCAGTGTTGCCAGAAAATATATACTCCAGTTAATGGCTGAACGGGACTTCCCCGCGAGTGGCTTTCCACCCCTGCAGAGATTCTTCACCTCAATTACCCGATTAGCGCGACGCTAAAGCGGTATTGACCTACTTTCATGTACGGAGTAGTACATGAACCTAATATAGGCTAAATTTGATACATACGACCATAGGGTGTGGAGAACAGGGCTTCCCGTCCGCTCAGCCGTACTTAAGCCACACGCCGGCAGGTTAGTAGTATGGTGGGTGACCACATGCGAATCCCTGCTGTTGTATGTTTGTTTTTTATTCCTTGTTCTTTTTTTGGTTCGTTGAGTATAATAAATGCCCTTGCCGCCCTACCACTTCAGCCCCTTCAGCCTTTCACCTGAAAGTCCTGAACACCCCTGAACAGATGACGCGGCTCCTCGGCTAAACCCGTCGTGCTCCATTCCTACCAACCCCAACCGACAACATTGCCTTCTTTTGGGGGCCACGAATCACCTGATTTGCCGATGCTGCAGAAACCAGATACGTTGTAGCAATCACCACTGTCTGGTCTGGTCTTGTCTATTTTCTCTCGAAGAATTCAGTGAAAATAATGTCGGCGAAGGAGGTACGGAAGTGAACAGGATCAGTTGATGATAATCACTTGATCACTGCCCCTTCTGTGCAGAGGTTAGACCAGCGGCTACTGCGGACGGGCCGTCTCGTGGAAATCTTTATTGCGACCCAATTATGGGGGACTCTACCTATCGTTTTTCCAATCACCAATTGTGAGGACTCTGTAACTGCTTGCGTTCAGCGCAAAGGGTGTTTGACATTGAACAGATAGTATTACTAACCCACTTGATACTAACGTAATTCCCCGCCGACCTAGATGGATATTTACTACATGTGTAGTGACGGGATGACTCATCATTGGAGCCTGAACCCTCAGGTCTCAACATCTTTAAGCGGGTGGAGACGCTTAGAAGTAAAGGACGTTGATTGAACTTCTTCCCTCTGGATATTCACCCCTCTTGCTAATCATCAACACCTACATCTACGTCTACTTCCGTGTCGGTGTCTCCGTCTATCTGCGTCTGCGTCTTATCCGACTCCTCTGGAGTTCGGAATCATCTACCGCCGCAGTCCGTCTCCTCTGGAGTTCGGGGTTATTTACGTCTGCAATCCATCTCCTCTGGAGTTTGGAATCAACAACCTGTACTTACGTACAGCGCTGCTTCGCCCGTTGTCCTTCTCTTTTGGAGTTCGGCACCTTATTCAGTCACTTCTCCTTTGGTAAGCGGAGCCCGTACCATGGTAGACCCAACACCAACTTTTCAAGGTTGGGATTGAAACCAGTTCACTCATTGATTTCAACTTCACAGATACCAAAGCCCTCAGCGTACCTACGCTATGGCGGCACCGGTGCAGAAACAGCCTCTTGTCCAGGGTGGTCATATAAAGTCCCCAGACCAGCTACCTTCAACTTTCACATCCTCAACATTGCCATGTGTCTACAGAGACACTATTGTTCTCGCGGCTACCCACCCAACCATCGCCACTGCAGGTATAGCGGATGACGGATGGTTCATCTCCGACTTTTATGCCTTCAATTATCTCCTGAAAGGTAAGGGCAAGGAACAAACTTGGCTCACAGCAGCCGATCCAAACCGACTGGTAGAGAAATACGGGCCCTACTTACATGGAAATCCGTACGAGGAACGGAAAGTCTGCCTTGATGGTGAAATGCTACGCCAGAACAAACTGACCGATGTTACTGTGGTCCGCTCATCTGAAATGATCAAGAGATTCATTTCCGAGGCCAAGCGAGCATCGGAGTTGGCTAAGAAAACCAAAGCGCCACTCCTCCTTCTGATTTTCTGCCACGGACTCCCAAACCATCATTTCCTCCTAAATGACGGTGAGCGAAAGAAGGGTCTAAGTATCCTTGCTTTGAAAGCCGTCCTTGAGCCAGCTGCACGTATTACCCTGGTAACTACGGCTTGCTACTCCGGAGGGTGGGCAGTTACTCCAGAGCTAAACACCACTGCGCTGACAGCTGCTAGTCACGTTCCTGATTGGAACGAGGGCCTTTCTAATGCCTGGGGTATATCGGCTAGTATCGGCCGCAGCTGTGGGTCTATATTTGCGAGTACCTTGATCGAAACTCTATCTAGCACTACAAGTCCTCTACTAGACGGCCACGAGCTTAGCGACTTAAGTGACGAAGGTACCCTCCAGCCAGATGCGCCGACCAATCATCAAACTCTTACATACAACGCATTCTGTCAATCGGTGTTGGATACTTGCCGAAACTCAATTACACGGCTTTGGGAATTCCAGCACTTCAGCTTTAGTGCTCAGAATGATGACTGGGAGTATTCCTGGACTAGAAGAACTGGAATACCACTAGCTCACTTTCGAGAACGGTGGAATATGCTGAGATCCTATCCTTATACGGGACCAGCGGATTTGCGTGACAGCAGGAACACCGACCCCCAAAACCCCAATTTCACTACCCTAGATCCAAGCAAAATAGGTGGGGTACAAGCTGGGAATGACCAGAACATCGTCGACACCATGACGGACCACATGGCCCATGGGAGACTCAAAGAGATGGCGAGGACTTTCCACGAAACCTGTCCAGGAGACTGGACCCTAAGTACCCACATATCCTTGAGTAGTCGTTTGTTCCGCTTCTATGAGCTGGGCTTGGGAACTGAAAACGCGGGCATGTTCGAGGCAACTATTCGGTTCCGATGGGAGGCGGCACTTCTCGCAGACTACGTTGTCGAGACGTTCAGGCTTCCAGTCCCAAGGAATGAGATCTGCATCATGTGGCATGAGGGTGCTTGGGCGAATGCGATCAAGAAGAAATTTCCCGCATCTGAAGTCAGCCAGAGGTGGTCAGCTATAGCTGCGACACTTAAAGATTCCTTTGACTTGCCCCGCCTACCACAACAAGGCCCGCCCTTTGACCGGCCATTGCATTATCTGGTGGCGGCTTTGATCGAGGCTGATAAGCCCGAGAATATATTGGCCGAGATTTGCGATGCTATCATAGAGCTTATGAGAAACGTCAGGACCTTCCAGAACCAGCGCATTTGCCAGAACCCAGAGGTGCGTCGAAGGGGACGCGAATGGCTTAGGTCCATTGGCCGACGAGCGCGAAGATCGCTTTCTCCACGTAAAATGGGGAGCAGGTCAGAATCTGTGTCCGCGTGATGTGGTATCTCCTTCTCTATTCTATGGAACCGTAGAGGATATCGGCCCCGGTGGGATTAGACCCCAAAATGTACTGTGTTACTTTGTACCCATAGCGTGGTATATCTTTGACCACCTGGGCAAGTTTGCTTTTGCTTCAAGTTCTTTTCCGCTGTATCATTCGAAATTCTGTTAAGTTGCTTTGTATCCATATTTAAATCATTCAATTTTGCTTGAACATCAATAGACTTGTCCTAGTCACATTGTAGTACTACGTACTAGTTAAGTCACTAATCTAATAACTCCTACTAACTGACTAACAGGGTACCCGAGGAAAGAGTGATGCAAACTTGCTTCAACTTGATTTTGAAGCGTGTGTTTTGTTTCTAGTACCTAGTTAGGTAGGTGGATAAGTACCTGCTAGCTAGTACTAGACGGAGGCCTACCTACCTTGGCAGGTATACTAGCCTAGTACTTATTATCGAGGACTAGTTCTAAGGTTAGTACTCTGGACTATGCTGATAGTAAGAATGCCACGTTGCTTCCAATTGAATATCCTTGGAAGATTCAACTTTTCTATCTGAACGCCCTCAGGCTCTGCTTCTTCAAGCTTGAAATTATCCTGCTACTTGTCTTTAGATTTGTCATTGTTGCTTCGCTGCATGCCCTTTGCCTTGTGGCGGCCACTGGAATATGGCAGGTGCATAAATAAGGTATTTAACGTGTTTCATGGGTAACCCGGCCACCCGGGCTATCCGGCCACACGTCTCCACCAACGCGTCGCGTGTAGCAACCTCCTTTTTTCAACCATCGCCATGCCACCAATTCGCCATGAAAAGCGTCAAAAATTGATTGAACAAGAGGGTATGATCGAATTTGCTATCCAAGCAATAAAAAACCATACAGTAGCTTCTATTCGTGAAGCTGCGCGCGTATTTGACGTGCCGCGTACAACCTTGCAAGATCGGCTCAAGGGTGTAATTCATAAGCCAATTCAGCGCCCAAACAACATGAAATTGAATCCAATTAAAGAGGATTTATTGGAAAATTGGATACTAGACCTTAATTCGCGTGGCAAAGCCCCCTTATATACTATGGTAAAAGATATAGCATATATATTGCTTGCTAAACGGCTATACTATGGTAAGACTATTACTGTAGGCAAAAACTGGGTATATGAATATATCAAACGTCGGGATACGCTGAAATCGAGGTTTTTACGTCGATATAACGCACAGCGTACCTTATGTGAGGATCCAAAGGTTATTAAGGAATAGTTTCAACTTTTAGCCAACAAAATTACTGAATACGGCATCCTTGACAATAATATCTACAATTTTGATAAAACTGGATTCGCAATAGGGATTACCAGTACTTCAAAGGTTATTACTGGCAGGGACTTCTATAGAAAGCGAAAACTCCTATAGCCTAGTAACTGTGAGTGGATAACTGTGATTGAATGTATCAATCTGAACGAGGTATTACCTCTGACTATTATCTTTAAAGGTAAAAACTTGATGTTAGGCTGGTTTAATACTACACTAAGAGATTGGCGCTTTGAAGTTAGTGATAATAGATAGATAACCGATGCTATAGGTCTTTTGTAGCTTAAAGATTACTTTATTCTGCATATTATCAAGAGGCAACGTAGTACCTACTCACTGCTAGTAATAGATAGTTATAGGAGTTATCTTACCCTATAATTTGATACAATTTGTATAGTAAATAATATTATTACAATTTGTATACCTATATATTCATCATATCTATTACAACCACTAGATATCGGCTATTTTAGTATATTGAAGTACTTCTATAGCCAATATATACAGGATATGGCCCGTGTAGGTACTACCTATATTAACAAGCTTGATTTCCTCAATATCTATCCTACAGTGTATACAGTAACCTACAAAAGCTCTATTATTACTGTAAGCTTTGTAGGCTCTGGTATTATACCCTATTTACTAGAGAGGGTACTACAAAAGCTTAATATATACCCTCTAATACCTACACCACCACTATCTCGTGGTAGTGCTAGTAGCCATAAATTCGTGCTACATACGCCATATAAATCCGTCTATTTTAGACGACAGATATCGTTAATTAAACAATAAATTAAGCAGGATTTATTTGTATACGATGATGAGATACAGTAATAATTGGATCAACTTAGCAGAGGTGCCCAAGCCATAGCAAATAACGCAGCTATTGTAGCTACTAATTATAGCCGTGCAATAGCTGAAAATGGCCGAAAGCAGCGTAAGTATACATCACCTAACGTCCGAATGGCCTACGAAGGTGGTGTTACTGTGGAAGAGATGCAAATACGCCTACAATTGGCAAATGAGACCAATATAGCAGCACCATCGGCACCTCCGCGCGCAGCAAGATCAGGCAATGAGAGAGCGCCACAGCGTTGTGGCAATTGCCGCGAGATAGGGCATAAGCGCAATAGGTGCCCGCTTAATAATAGCACCTAGTTTTTGCAATTTAATGGGTGTTGGTGGATTTATTCATGTTAAATATAGTGGTGGTGTGGATGGGTGGCCGGATAGCCCGGGTGGCCGGGTTACCCATGAAACACGTTAATTGATATGCGGGAAATTTAGAATTTTGGGGAATACTGTGCTGATCTAAATACTGTATCTGAAAGCCCCTTGGGGGCGACATGGTCAGGAACGGGGCCTAGGCTCCCTTCGTCTTGTAGGTCCGACTTTCTTCCAACTTTAAAGCGGCCATATCTTTGGCAACTTCGGCCAACCTGGCGTCCAGAGCGTCTTCTTGCGCATCAAGGTCCGCCCGTTGTTTACGCAGGGATTCCTTTTCTTTTTTTGCGCTAGCCTCACGCAACTCTATCTGTCTCCGTCTCTGAGCAAACTCGTCGTCCCTCTTTTGAGGTAAAGGAGGTCGCTGGCGCGCTGGCCGGGAAGAGCCGATGGGATTTGCGGGCCGCTGTGGCGCGGGATGGGAGGAGCTAGCGGACTTTGTTGGCGCCGGGGGGGGGCAGGGTGGTTGGGGCTACCGGGCCTCTTTGGGGGCTGCGGAGCAGGGTGGGACACGCCGGAGACGTTGGAGACGCTGGTCGTCTTCCGGTGTTGGGGAGCGTCGTTGGTGAGTCTTTCCACAGTCTCGGTGCCGACCCATTGTAGCACATGACCCTTGTCGACTGCGTCCTGGAGGAAGCTCGCGAGATAACGGGTGGAGCCCAGTTTCGCATTAGTGCGGAATTGCTGGTTCCAGATACGCAGATTCACAACGGCAACCAGGAGCTTCCTCGCTCGAGTCATGGCCACATTGAGCCGCTGGTAGTGGGAGACGAAGCCAACATCAGTCGTCGAAAAGGTACGTGGCTTTGTAAACATGAATATTACCACGTTCGACTCCTGACCCTGCGACCCGTCGACTGTCAAACAACGGTCGTACTTCACCCCAGCCGAAGCAAAGCGCTCGATGACCCGTTTCACCTGCGCTCTATAGGGGCAGATCAATACCACGTCCTCAGGCACGATCGGATCGTTGGTGGATCCATCGGCGTACAGTGCCTTGAGGAAAGTCATAACGACGTCGATTTGGCCATCATTGCGCCAGGATGTGCTCCTCTCCGGTTGCTCAGCAACTCCGGGGGCGTCGATCACGATCCGTCGCTTCCCAATAAGTCCCTTGAAGTGGTGGTGGGAGGCTGTGAAAGCCTGCCACGCACTTCCCACACGCTCAGCCTTGGTGTTCCCCGCGCAGGCGGTGATCTTGCTCTTGTAGATGGCCGATGCAGGCCAATCCAAGATGTCAGGGTGGCACCGATAGTTGATTGCAAGGAGGCTAAGAGGGTAGCACCTCGAGAGTCGGGTCATGAGGGAGCGACCAAGGAACTTTGCCCCTTCGTTCTCGCGCAAGGATACAACCGTCGGGGGGGAGCTGATCAGGATCTCCGATCAGAGGGACGGTGCGCAGCGTCAGATACCCTGTAAGTGGTATCATGCTGTCACCTTCGAGGCACTGGCCAGCCTCGTCGCAGAGCAGCGCGTACGGTTGGAACCCAGCCTTAAGGTTCTCGTCGCCGGAAGCGTTGAGTGTGGCGGCGACCACTTTGCATTGACCGATCACCCTGCGCAGGACTTTTTCGTAACAGTTCCTGAGAGAAACCGTCGTGTCCTTGTCCAGAACGCTTTGTCGATCCTGGTCGAGCAGGTCGATGAGCTTCTTCGCGTCGGGCTGCTGGTCGTAGTACTCCGTCGCCTTTTTCACCACCAGTGCCTCGATCTGGCAGTCCGCAAGGGCCTTCTCAACGGAAGAGCTGTTGTCGCTGATGCCCTGCGAGGGCTTCGCCTTGCTAGCGCGGCGAAGAACACCCATTTGGTGGCTAGAAGTTTTGAACCGGCAGTATAGTCCACACCAACCTGCAAGCTTTGAATCCCCTTTCAAAGCCTCATGGAAGGCGAGCAAAAGCGTGTCGACAGCCTGGTTGGACCCGGCGCAGATCAGAACCTTCATTCCCAGGCTCGTGAGGATAAGGAGCATGACCAACGTTGTCCGCGTTTTGCCATTGCCCGGCGGGCCTTTCACCAGGCTGATGCCAGCGACGACCTTGAAAACCGAATTCTCAACGGCTTGACGTTGAGAACTATCCAGGACGTATTTGCCAAGGATAAAATCGATTCGTTCCTTCTGGAGTTCAGGCGGGACCACGGAAATATCCTTCACGTTCAACTCAAAGTAGAACGGACTAGTCCGGCACACCTCCGAGCCTTGCGCGAGGATGGTGCGTTTAAGGGAAAACCCATAACCGTCGCTCTTCGGGTGATCACCGAACGTGGAAGTTCGACCAGCCACCTCCAGTGCATCGATCTGAAGTGCAGTCGACTTCAGATTGACGGTGAGTGTAGCCGTGATCTTCTTGGTCTGGCCGTCCAAAGCAGGATCAAAGTGGGCCCGGGTCAAGATGGCAAAATCCGCTCGGCTTGAGTCTATGCAAGTGCCAGTGCCAATGACCAGTTTCCGAGCTTTCGGAAGAGCCGAGTTTGCGACATTCACCTCGAACTTGGCTTCGATGGTTTCCGGCGGAGCTGGCTTCGGGTCCGCGTTCATCCAAACGTGGAGCTTCCAGTAAGCCTCACCAGACGTCGGACGTTCAAGGATAACGTCGTGAGTCTTGCTCTCACAGAAAACTTCATCGTATGTTGTCCACTGGACGTTTTGCTCGATGATTGTGGCCTCGACTAACCGAGACCGGTGATCCTCCTCGTCCAGAAAGAAATCGAAGTAGGTGTCCCATATCTGATACTGACCATCGTCGTCGAAGAGCCAGGGCATCATGGGTCGACGTGGTGCCTTGCTCGACTCCGGTAGAGGGTTCTGCTCAGCATACCAGAACGAACGCATCTTGCCGTTGGCCTGAAGACTTTTACGTATGTGCCCCACGAGGTTGGTCATATGGCTCTTGATTCCCTCAAAATCATGGCGGCACTTGTTGGGGAACGCAGTCCAGATGTAGACCGTTTTTCCAGCCCACTTGATGTCCTTGAGCTTCTTCCAGGTCGCTAACTGTGCACCCTTCAGTTCCCACGACGGCCCAGCAAAAACAGGGCTCTCAGACGGGCTCAACCGGAAAAGGCACACTTGGTAGTCCTTTTTTAGTTCCGGTATCGCAGACTTCTGGCCTGCTTCGATAAAGGCGTCGTGCCGACGGGAGTCGCCTTTGAGAATCAACTGCATACCTGTTGTGCTGCGGGGAAAACGACGTGCACCTGGCCAAATTGAATATCCAGGCATGGCTGCTGGGAATCCAATCGGACTCTTATTGAGACAGGTGTGTATTCATGTTTCTCGTCGATGCTGAGCGTGCAGAAACGGGTCCGCTTGAGCTGATTGTGGAGATTATTTGGGTAATCTGCTCCAAGAGGACTGCTGAAAAAATCGGGGACATTGGCAGAGCTCGCCATTGCTAATTCAATGATCAGTAAACGGAACAGAGATGAGCTGCTTGCCAGGGAACCTTACCGACGGACTGAAAGAAAAAAAGTCCGAACCTCAGAGAGGACGGATAGGATGCTGAGGGTCGGGAATGAAGATATCTGTCGAAGACGACAAAAATAAGTCCGGACCTCAGAGAGGACGGATAGGGTGACTAGAGTCGAGGGCGGCGATATCTGTCGAAGATACGAACGAAAGCCTGAACCTCAGAGAAGACTGAAAGGGAAATGAGAGTCGAGATGCCGGTTACAGGGAGAACACAAGACGAAACAGTCGAAACAAAGTCCGAACCTCAGAGAGGACGGAAATGACGACGAAGGTCAGGGACAGCGGTTCCTAGGAGAAGGCGAAGCAGATTGGCCGAAACAAAGTCCGAACTGCAGAGAGGATGGATAATGAATAGGGCAGACCGGTCGATATGGAACTTTGAAGTGAGACGCAGCAAGACGAATATCCAGGTGGTGAGGAAGAGGAAGAGATATTAGGTGTGTACTGTCTACGCGGTACGTCTACACGGTACGCCTACGTCTCAGGCACCAGTGCTTGTTACGGCATTGTATGGATGGTGCCGCCTAGGAGCCTGATACCGGTGTTTACATGACCGTTGTCCAAAATAGATTGCTTTTCTTGCTCTTACCCTAGCTATCTAGGAGTAGCTCTTAGTTTCTTCTTACTAAGTGAATTAAAGAGATATATCTATTAAAACTACAAATAGCTTAGTCTCAAGGATAAAAGTTTCTATTGAAGTATAACAAACCTATCCTATAATACGGTATTTACTAGAAATCCTTCAATAAATCTGGGTAACTTCGAACATATAACTATAGGAAAGATAATTTATTATTATGCTTACTTAACTGATTAGAAAATCTGTTATTACTCCTTAAGTAATAGATCCCTTATAATTAAGTATAGAATAAAATTTTAGACCAGGAAAAGCTCTTAGACATAGGTATAAAGCTAGCTAGGTGACAAGCAGTAGTAGCAGCACTCTAATCTTATATAGATTGACCAGGTACCGAAGCTTCTGCATCTCAATAGCTAACAGAAGATGCAGCATAGTTAGTGTGTAACCTCTGGGATATCCTTAATATCCACAACATACAAACTGCCGAATATCAGACAGCATATTCAAAGTCATCACAGTTATCACAAAATTTGATGAAGGAGATACAGACTTTCCTACAGAATCACCAACAGGCCATTCAGCAATAACAAAACCAGCCTTAGTCAGCCCAACCAATAGGTTAGGTTCCCTAGGGCCAGCCACAGCAAGGCTGACCTATTCAGCACAATTAATTAAACAGCCCCTAGAACCTTGGCTAGCTCCTACTATAGATCTAGGTCAAGGTTAGCTTACTAAACTTTTATCTACTACTAAATATCACCAAATATGAATTCCCGAGGCCTGGTTATGATACGGAATTGTGCTCTAGAAGCAGAAAGTCAGATAGGCCCGGATTACGGACCTATATCAGTCCTTCTCTTAGCATCAAGCTACGGGTAATATGATATAGGAGGAGGTACAGGAATTCAAGAACCGTTCGCTAGCTACGGAGAAGCTGTTCCGTGAAGGTAGTGATTTCCTGAACGAGTTCAAAGAGCAGCAAGAGAGCTTCCAAATACAATCACAGCAGCAAACCTAGTCGATAGTCAACCAGGCCTAGCAAAAACAGGGAGCTACAGTGGCACAGCAGAACAAAGCTGCTCCTGTAGCAGCCGTGCAGCCACCCCAGCAACCACCCCAGCAGGCGACTCCGAATCAACAACCGCAAAACACGACAAGTTCGATGCCAGGACAGGCGCCTACCCCAGCACCCCACACTTCAACTTAGACAAAGATACGGCTCTTAGTCAGACTTAAGCTCGAGAGGTAATTTCGTCGTCGACATCACAGTAATAGCGATAACGTATCTGGCTTACATAGCCTCGGCAAGCTAGGTTGAGAAGGCGCTAAATATGGCAAACACTGGATTCGTGGTGTCTGGCAATAAAACCAAGCATGATAAGGAGCAAAATAACTTATAAGGGTTCATTTAGGTAGAGAAAGGACTGAAGACTTGCAAAAAAAAAAAAATTAACATAAGAAGAAAAAGAGCATACAATAGCGAGGATTCGCATGTGGTCACCATACTATACTACTAGGCTACCAGGTAAGGTTAGATCGCTTCCTGGTATATCAACTAGAGATTAAACTCTTCTTCAGTAGCCACACGTCGGCAGGTTAGTAGTATGGTGGGTGACCACATGCGAATCCCTGCGGTTGTATGTTTTTCTTTTTTTGCTCTCTTGTTTTGCTTTATTTGATGAGTTTAACTTGTTTTATTTTTCTCCTGGCATTGTATTACCTTGCTTCAATCTAATACTAATAGGTAGACCACGTTGTTTCCATCACTGCCCATCTGGTTCCGTACCTAGGTATCTAGCTAGGCATTAGCTTTCATCTATAAAAATAGGCACTAGTAGTTAAATTTTGGTCAGTAGTGCAAGACTAATGGCTAAACCTTGAAATTATGTGGTTATCGAAGTTTCTCTCTTTCTTTTCTACTGAATTCCCTTCACGATCCTTGTGGGAGATCTAGGTCCACGATCCATGCTGGCTGTACCGGTAGAACTTTCTCCCCTTCGATTGCAGCATTCACGAAAAGGGTCTGCAAGCCCATCTTGAGCGGGCTTGGATCAGAAAAACAATGGCTGGTAGAGAAAGCCCCGGCGGGGATCTTGGCTACCTTTTCTCGTATTGTAGATAATTTTTCTATTATCATAGATCTATCGTTGTCGATATCAGTCAAATACGAAGGCTTGGCACTCGATGTCTGGCGCCAAGTGATGAGCTTGGCTCCCCAGCCTTCATGGATGTGACCAAAGCAGTGCATACGAGGCCGAGCTCGAGCTATCGCTTCGAAAAGAAAAGGGCACCCTGCTCGCTCAGCAGAGTAAGTCATATCCATTATACCTTTCGGAGGACCATGGGTAATAGCAATATCGACGTTATGAATTGAAAAATCATGACCGTGATCAGGGTGGTATTGAAATCCCCAATCACCTTGCGATGGAGTGTATGGGCTGGCATAGACTCTCAAAGACGCGCCGTTTCCTAATCGAAATTCGTGAGTTCCTTCGTCAAGGAAAGTAATTCCAACTTCTCGGTCAAATAACTTTCTCGCCTCGCCTTCGTAGCCATACATCTGTTGGACCAGGGTGGGATCCAAAGGTGTTTTGACGTCAGCCACTTTTCTTTGGAAGGTAGGAATATCCATCGTGAAGTCATGATTTCCGGCTATTGCAATTTTAAGTGGTGCGTTGATGGCATGGAGGAGGCGAATAGAGGCATTGTATTCCTCAAGCTTAGACTCTGTGGTCAGGTCTCCACAGTGGATGACGACGTCTACAGAATGGCTCGGGGTATCTTTTGCAAGCGTCTCGAGGCCATGTGTGTCGGATATCACGAGAAACCGTGTTTTGACAGGGCGCTGGCGATCTGCCATCGTGAAGTAAAATATTGAATAATTTGAGCGATGTGAGGAATTTTAGAAAATTCAGCAACAGGAACGAGTTCTGGTAAGTCTTTTTGAACTTAAGTCCTAAATGCTGTAACGGCAACAATGAGCGTGATTGTGTGAAGGGATGAATGGTAAAGGGCGTGTATTGTGTACAAAGCTCCATAGCTGCTACTGGAGATAGCAGGACGAGATGACTAGACACTCACGTGCAATATTAAAGTCTAAAGAACCAGCCATTACAAGATGCAGCATCACCACTCCGTTAAGGACTAGTACTAGTACCTACTAGTTAACTAGCTGGTACCTTCCCCCATGGAGAGATACTAACCATGGATATATGAGCGGCACCAACGGGGCCCATGACAAATCAGAAATCCAATATTACATATCAAAGATACTACCTAGGTAGTATTGGGGCAGGGTTGAAAGAGTGAAAACTGTTTATTTTCAAGTTATTACTCAAGTACATCGGAGTGCCTTGTCTATTCTTTCCCTATTAAAATCTACGAGGACCCGGCTAACGCATATGCTTTTGAATTTACGATCTAATAGAAATTACCGAGATTGGGAATTTATTGTATGATTATCAAAATAGTAGGCCTACTTCTGGAATCATCGTATACAGGGATTGGAAGGCTTCTCATCCTAGATAGTAGGTGATCAGGTTAGATAGTTTTGCTTGGAAAATGATATTTTGGTATTAATCAGTATGATACAAGAGGTGCGTGTGTTATTAAAACAATTTATACCAAGATGGGACTTTCTATCGGGGTCCTGTGCCTGACCAACGCCTGAATCTCGTCAAATTTCCGACTCATGAATCTTTTTTCTCATCTTTTTGGTCATTTTCTTTCGCGTTGGCCTTGGCTTCTTCCTTCGCTTTCTCTTTCTTGGCCTCTAACTGCTCACCAACTTGGATGATGGCTCGCTCCGCTTCAAGCGCCAACTCCGGTGCTTCAAATATAGATGCTAATCTTTTCGCGTCGGACATTTTTAGTAATATGCGATCATCGCATTGCTCCACACCATCAACCATATCAGAAATGGATGTATCGGCCGGTGTGTTATCAAGGGCGCGCGAGGCTCGTTTGGCATACAGCTCCTCCAATTCTGGGGGAGAAATAGGGTTGATAAGGTTCTTGTCAACGAGAAATTCGAGATGGCGGGAACCATTCAATGCTACAGAATTGACTGTTAGTGGTTGGGCTCGGACAATTCGCGAATAGGGTCAACCAACCGCGCCAGTGAGACCATCCTCGGTAGACCAGGTAGAAGAAAGGGATGTTCGGGACTCTGGACATTCGGATCATTCGTTAGCATTCTGTAGATCTTTCAAAAAAACCATGCCACTCCCAAAAGAAACTTACACTGGGATCAAACCCAATGGTGCCGTAAAGGGGGCTATGCCCAAGCTCCACCGCATCTTCTTTTGGTGGAAATCTTGTCGTTCCGTGGCGATGGTACGGAGAATTGCGGGAACCTTTTCCAATCGCAGAGCATTTGCCGGGTATAGGACTTCAATTTTCTTGGACCCATATTGCTCATCAATTCTTCGCTGTGTTGTGAGGGACGGAATGCTTTTGAGACCCCATTCTTCGAATGGGATTCGTTGCTGGACCTTATTTCCCCACGTCACCAGGTGTTTCTTCCAGCCCTTCTCAGCTTCCTCCCAGCCAGCCCATGTTTGCGCAGCCTTCGTCGTCACGCGGTCCAGTATAGAAAGTTCTTTAGAGGCATCTCTTCGGAGCGGTCGCGCATATATCAACGCCCGTCTGGTCGAGATAGGGATCAAGAAAAGGCGCATCACAGCGGGGAAGTGGGTGTGGAGTTCGGGACCGGAGAGAAAATATCGAGAAAGTCAAGACGAAGGAAAGGAATATGAAAAGGGAGTGAAATTCAGCAGACCATGCGCTTATGTGTGCGCCCAAGGGCCTTGGAAGGTTGGAGTGAAAGTGAAAATGAGTGGTGAAAGTGAAAGTGAAAGTGATGGATCGCACTAGGGGGGGGAAAGGACGTCATTCCGCGCGAACCACCCAACTCGTTTTTGTCCCGAGGCCTTCCCCAAAGCTGCCTTGCTTTGTTTCTCTTCCTGCTGCATCCACCACCTCACCACCCCGCGTCCCGATTTTCATTTATCCCTCGACTCGAGTCTGCTACTCTCTAATTTGTGCAGTTTACCAGGCTGTCACATCCTGATCAACAATCTTGGACATGCACCTACGAAATTGACGCCTTCCGCAGTCTCCGAGTCCCGCCCTATACCACCTCCCATGGATGCGAATAGCTCCAAACAAGGCGCTCTGGGACGTGTCCTCAGTGAAAAACTTTCTGAAAAGCTTACCTCCGGCCCGTCATCACCAATTGTACCCGCGCCCTCGAACCATCTGAGCATCGATACCCAGGCCGCAGCTCTGCGCAATGGTGCTTACGACTCACCAGCCACCGCGTCGCGAATTCCAAATGGGCAGATAGAAGAACTCGTACGATCGCAACATTTCACTTTAAGAACTCTGCCTCGTATGTCAATGGACTTGAGCTTCCCTTTCCTTGATTTGCAGTAAAAATATCAGTTCAGTGTCACTAACTTTTCGCTCTCGTAGCATGGATTCAGTCTGTTGAAGCCGCCGACGACGAAGGAGAGGATGCCACAGCAGCCGATCGCCTTTTACCTTCTCAACCGAGCGATGCATTTGTAGCTCAGCATAATCATTCACCTCATGCCTCGTCAAGCCACCACTATACCCCATCACCACAACAACCGCTTTTTGAGGATGACCGTTCGCCCTCCACGGAACGCGAATCACGCTGGATAACATTCTCGCGATCTATACAATACCCTCGGGAACATGGTACCGAGAATAAAGAAGTCACACCGGAATGGTTGCTCGAGAACCATGGCAGTTACGCGGATCCCTGGCGAGGGAAGCACCTCGAAGGCGACAGCCCGGAGTATCCCTTGCACTCGAAAAATCGTCGGGAGATCTGGTTCAAGCGGTTCCAGAGTACTCTTCTCAAAAGTCCAATCGTGCCGCTGATCTTACGTTTAACTGTCTGGTGCTTCTCGCTCTCTGCTCTCGCTTTGGGTGGATCTATCCAACATTACTCTAATCAAGGCACCCACTCCCAAGGGCCATCTGCCCTAATGGCCATCATTGTCGATGCCGTCGCCCTGGTCTATCTACTTTATATTACGTTTGATGAATACACCTCAAAGCCCCTGGGCCTGCGTTCGCCTTCGGCAAAGGCACGACTTATCTTGTTGGATCTGGTTTTCATCGTCTTCGATTCTGCCAACCTTAGCTTGGCATTTGATTCTTTATCAGAGGTGACTGGATCATGTACCGAAGCAGAGGTCAACCAACAAATAGACCCTCGTAACGACAGGATTTGTGTTCGCCAGAAAGCCTTGGCATCGGTTCTCCTGGTGGCTCTGCTTGCCTGGCTAATGACATTCTGCATCAGTGTCCTCCGGTAAGTACCAGCGGTTTCCAGGAAGATGCCTCACTTAGATACTGATATCATTCTAGGCTTGTTGAGAGGGTGAAACATTGAGTGCATAATTCCTATGGTTGCACTTTTTGATTCCTTCCAAGCTTGCGGTATCGGTCGGAGAAGTATATTCCGACGGCATGCATCGTCGCCTACCTAATCTTACTCAATGTTGAATCCTGGCAGATTGATTCATGGACCGCTATGAATGTGCCAAATCACTTCCCAGGATAGCCCTTAATTTTGTCCTGCTCCACCACCCGACCACAAAACACGCTCCACTGTTTCCCAGGCTGATACAAGCCCACCCACCATACGAAAATGTTCATCTCCAAAACATAGGCCCGTCCAACCCGCGACAACCAAAAGTCTCATGGGCATTGGCGTGGAAATGGCGTCGGCTATACACAATATAAACCCATTAGAGTACAGCTACTGTGACCTCGTTCAAGTGCCGTTTGATCTCAGCGGTGAAAGCGCCATGGTATATCATGAAAGAGTTCCCTCGAATCCCGGTTTTGGAGATGAGCTCCCAAGAGCAACTCTGATGGCAAGTCACCTGGACCTCTGATGGTTAATGAAAGGTCATACCTGTGTTGCGCTCGTCTTCTGCTCTGAATATAGATTTCATTCTAGATTTACCGGCAGTGCTATGTACTATGTACTATGTAACTACTGGTCATGGCATTCCCAATCAGAAAATCAGAACATCAGAACCCTGACCTTCACCATGACAATGACGTCATTTCGGAGACTGTGATTACTCCCAAGGCGTGCGATTGCTTGGAAACGACTGAGCTCTGTATGTCTTGGTCTGATCCTTTCGTTTCAATAATTTGTGTTTCTTTCTTCTTCCTAAATCGTCTTACTATAGATGTGCTTTTGTTATCGCATGTTAGGTTAACAACCTTTAAGATCAAGGTCTAGATCGCTGATTGTGTGAAGTGATACCACAAAACCCACCCTTTAAATGGTGAAATAATGAAGACTCTTAGAGTAATAATATACCATCCCCTAGAGTTTTGGAACAACTTACCACTAGTATATCCATGTTCAAAATAGTGGACGGTAAAGCTGATAAAAGTCTCTGGCAAAACAACCAAACCCCAATGGGCAACAAGCGGTGATCGCCTTCACAGACCCTCACCGCCCGCTGCTGACCGCCCGCGGTCGACGCATCGAGGTCCCCACGCATCTCAGCCTCATCTTGCCGCCACACTCGTCTGCCTGATCTCTCTTCTGCCTTGCTCTCACTTGTTTTGCTTGGGAGGCATCGTTTTTTATTTTCTACTCTCTCTCTCTTTGAAGCGTCTCCTCCACCCAAAAGCAACTGCAGTTTGATTCTGCACCGAAAATTACACGCTGTGACTCGTGGCGCTCTATCCCATCTCCGTCCCTGGGAGATCAAGCCTCGCTTGTACGCGCTCCTTCAAAGAAACCGACTTGATCTGTTGTATGGCGTGTCCCGGGACTTCTCGGCTGATCTTTCATTGTCTTTGTTCCAGGATCACTTCCTTCTTTCGTCCTTGCTAGACTTCCCCACCTGACCTCCCCTCCCCAACACTATGGCCGCCATGCTTCAAACACCGCATAAAGATGACCTCCCCGAAACGTGAGTCCAGATAAAAGCCAAACGTATAAGATAGAGCAGGGCTGATTCTTTTCCAGGTGGTCGTTCCTCGAGGCGGGAATCGATAATGTGATGATGAAGCTTGAGGAAGGAGTTGACATGAAGCATGTGAGTGACTCGAACGCCCTTATCCATAACGAGGCAACTGGCTCTCATTTGAATGTCCTCAAACTAACTTTTGGTCATAATTCCCCAGTACATGGCTCTTTACACGTACGTTTAATGCCCGCGCCGATTTTGTTTTCCCCGCTCACAGGCCTACCACAGCGCCGTCCACAACTTTTGTACCTCACAGAAAGCCGTCACCAGCAGTCAAGGTCTACAGGCTCACCGAGGAGGTTTGTCATCCTCAATACTAGCCCGCATTGCGGGTTCCCTGGAAAGAATTTCACTAACTGAACGCCCTATGCGCTCAGCACACCTCCTGGGAGAAGAGCTTTACAAGCTATTAGGCGAGTATCTATCACGCCATCTGGCTGTTGTCTACAAGGAATCCCAGAGTCACGCCGAAGAAGCTCTCCTCGCATTCTACATTCGCGAATGGTCCCGATACACTACCGCTGCCAAATACATCAACCATTTGTTCAGTTACCTGAATCGACACTGGGTGAAGCGCGAGATCGACGAGGGCAAGAAGAATGTTTACGACGTTTACACTTTGCATCTCGTCAAGTGGAAGGAGGATTTCTTTGAGCACGTTCACGAGAAGGTGATGGATGCCGTGCTAAACCTTATAGAGAAACAGCGCAACGGCGAAACCATCGAACAATCACAGATCAAGAGCATCGTTGATTCATTTGTCTCTCTGGGCCTGGACGAGAACGATAGCAAGAAGCCCACCCTTGAAGTCTACCGAACCTATTTCCAAACGCCATTCATCGCAGCCACTAAGCAATATTACGAAAACGAATCCCGGCAGTTTGTGGCGGAGAACAGCGTTGTCGAGTACATGAAGAAGGCGGAGGCTCGACTTGCAGAGGAGAAGGATAGGGTCGGTCTCTATTTGCATCCCGATGTCACCAAGGCACTTACTGAGACCTGCCTCGACGTCCTTGTCACTGCCCATTCCAACTTGCTTCGCGATGAGTTCCAGATTCTCCTGGATAATGAGCGTCAGGAAGACCTTGCCCGGATGTACCGACTTCTATCTCGCATCAAGGAGGGATTGGACCCTCTACGCGCTACATTTGAAAACCACGTGAGACGAGCTGGCCTGACTGCGGTTGAGAAGGTCGCATCCGAAGGCGATAACTTCGAGCCCAAGCTCTACGTGGACGCCCTTCTGCAAGTTCATACCAGGTATCAAAATCTAGTTGACGAAGCTTTCAACGGCGAATCTGAGTTTGTGCGTTCTCTCGACAACGCTTGTCGCGAGTTTGTCAACCGAAACCGCATCTGCAAGACCACAACGACTCGCTCTCCAGAGCTCCTGGCAAAATACACCGATGGTCTACTGAAGAAGGGTTCCAAGGCTGCGGAGGAGTCCGAACTGGAGGAGATGCTCACGCAGATCATGACTGTCTTCAAATACATCGAAGACAAGGATGTTTTCCAAAAGTTTTATTCCAAGATGTTGGCGAAACGTCTCGTGCATGTCAGCTCTGTGTCCGACGATGCAGAAACCAGCATGATCAGTAAACTGAAGGAAGCCTGTGGTTTTGAATACACCAACAAACTGCAGCGCATGTTCCAGGACATCCAACTCTCCAAAGACCTCAACTCAAATTACAAGGACCACCAAGAAAAGACATACGATGATGACGACCGCAAAAAGATGGTTGACTCGCACTTCCAGATCCTTGGAACTGGCTTCTGGCCCCTCAACCCTCCCACAACCCCCTTCAATGCCCCCACCGAGATCAACAAGACCTGCGAGCGGTTCCAGCAATTCTACTTCGGCAAGCACAATGGTCGCAAGTTGACCTGGCTGTGGCAACTCTGCAAGGGCGAAGTTAAGGCGAATTACATTAAGAACGCTAAGCTACCTTACACCTTCCAAGTGTCTACTTACCAAATGGGCATCTTGCTGCTGTTCAACGAGACCGACACCATGGGCTACTCCCGATATCCAAAAGGCGACAGCACTAGGCCCAGAAGTCCTTGATCCTAACCTCAGTATCCTTTTGAAGGCGAAGGTGCTCCTGGCAAGCCCAGAGGGTGCCAAGCCTGACCCCTCAACCACTTTCACCCTCAACTACAACTTCAAAAATAAGAAAATCAAGGTCAACCTCAACATCCAGATTAAGTCGGAGCAAAAACAAGAATCGGATGATACCCACAAAACCATAGAAGAGGACCGGAAACTTCTGCTCCAGGTACGAATCAATCTCCCTTCCCCTTCCCTTCCGACACCTCGCTTTGCATTGTTCTATTCTTTCTAACTTTATTCAGTCGGCCATTGTCCGTGTCATGAAATCTCGAAAGAAGATGAAACACGTACAACTGGTGCAAGAAGTCATCCAGATCGTCAAATCTCGCTTCCCGCCTAAGATTTCCGATATCAAGAAAAACATCGAAGCTCTCATGGAGAAGGATTACATCGAACGTCTAGACGGGGACGAAATAGCTTACATTGCTTAAAGTCACGTCCTTACCGTGTGCCTCCCCCTTCATTTCTCGTTCCTCCTTAGCTCATCGCACCAGACACACCTGTTTCTATGCTTCCGTTTCCCCCGCATCTCTTCTATTATCGTCGCCCCTCTGCCTCGTCTGATCCGGCTCGAATAGTTTCCACCTTTGCTTATTGCTGCTACAATATTCTTATTAGAAAAAGGAAGGGGAGCGACGAGGGTTTGAGGCCCAAAGTGACCGAGCGACCCGGAATTGACGAGGAGGGGGAATCTTTTTTTTTCTTGCTTGGTTGGGATAAGGGAGCTTCGGAGCACAAGAACGACGCATTTTGTGTTTATTTTATTCCATCTTTCATCATAGCGTTGAGACGACAGATCAATGATAACCCGAATTCTCCTTTCTTATATTTTTCCACTTGTATAACGCTAAAATCGACCCTTAGACCTCAAAGTCCCACCGTAGTCTACCGCTATCTGATTTATTGAAAGAACCCTTAAGAAGTTCCTTTCATTTTGGCCACGCGGAGCTAGATACGCGAACTTGAATGTAGCAGGATTTTCCTCTAGATTGCCTAAAAATACGATGAAAGCTCTGCACAATTAAGATATATGTAAATTACAATGCAATCAATATCTAGTTCCAAGTCCTAGAAAGACACGCAAGTTGACTCGGATCGTGTGATGCGAGATCCCTAAAAAGGAAAGCTGGAAAAGTAGAGAGAAAAAAGAATGCCAAGATCGTATCGCAATTCTAGCAAGCAAGTTCAATGGCGTGTTTGAGAAGGGGATTTGGTTAAAGTGTAGTATAGACAAAGACAATCGGAGAATGAGAATGGTGTTCTAGAATGGGTATGCCGCGCTACAATGCCAAGTACCAAAGATAAGAAAGGGGCGAGGGAAAGAAGTAAAGGGGGAAAACCTTGGAAGGCAACAACAAGTAGATGACAAGAAAAAGGAGAATGCGTCACTCAAAACATATGTACTGTCGTGATGGACGAGGCGCAGAAAGGGGACCTATTTGCTAGAAATAGAATCCTTGGCCTCGTGTGATTGTTCTTTTTCTTTAACGGGCAGAGCAGTCAACGAATCATCGGGTCGCGAATCAGCGGTCTTCTTTGAATCATGTGTATTTTCAGCCGCTGTAGACTCGCTGGGGTTTAGGTCCACGCGGAGTCCCTCGTTGGGCGTAAGTGAGACGCTGGTGAAACCCTCCGCGTCAGCAGCTTGTAATTGTTGCTGCTGCTGTCCTGTGACCTTCTCAGCTTCAAAGGGATTCTCCTCCGTGCCAAGACCGTGTGCTGGGAAGCCCTGAGAGAGGGGAGACTTGGGGAAAGGGGAATCGGCACTCTCGTCGCGTTTGAATTCACCGCTCTCGCGACGCAGAAGAATATTACTCCATCTCTTTCTACGGCTTAGACTGCGCGACAGACCCCCCTCGGTATCTTCGCTTTCTCGCTGCATCGAGCGACGACGGCCGCGGTCTGACTCGGTGATGGTTTCGCTGACGATGGACAGAGATGGTGCCGATGGTGATGGGGCAATTGCGCCTTGTTGCGGGCTTGGCGAAGCGCTGCGCTTTTCTTGCCACTCGCGTCGCTTCTCGTTCGCCCATGACCCCCATGAACTGAAGTATGCGCCGGCCTTTTGGCTGGCCTGGGCCGCTGTAGCTTGGGCCTGAGCGACGTCAATTGAAGCTCTTGGACGGCTCGCAAACCAAGCGCCTGATGTTTCGGAAGTGGAATCATCGATGGATCCCTGTGAAGGGGACGCGGGGGGTATCGATCGAAGCGCGCTGTGGCTGAGATGATCTTTCTTCGTTGCGCTTCTTTTGGTTCTCGCGCACGGTCTCCATGTCGGACCAGAATCTGTTGTACACTGCGCTGACTTTTTTCTGGCCTGTCGCAAGGTGTCTGCCGAGTGCCTCCCGTCCCTCACGAACCTTTTCGTCAAGATGGAGGTCGGCCACTTGCTGGGATAGTCGACGTTGGATATCGTCCACGGTCAATCCACCGGCGCTTGGGTGTCGGGGTTCGGTGATAGAAAACAGGAGTGCATCCGAGGTGAGGCGCGAGAAGAGTGCATAGTTGGAGGTCTTCTGCCACTGGATCAAAAATTCAGTGTTAAAGTCGACAGCAGGGTCCCCTTCGATATTGAAGTTTTGTAACTGCGCTCTGCTGCGATGGCCAGAGTCACCGGAAGTGTACGAGCTGAGTTCTTCGTGGTACTTCATGGAAGATAATAGGGCCAGCAGATACTCCTCAAACTGCAATCGAATAAACTCTTCGGAGCCCATAAAACCAAGGGTCTTCGGGCGTGATGGGTGATCTTCATCCCAAGTGTCATTAACAATTTGAGTGAGTAGATCAATCCAGCGTCTGTCGGCGGTGGAAAGAGCCAAAGCATTGCGGAGAGGCAAAGAAGAGATGCTAATACTATCTTCATCAAGCTGATGGTCCACAAACTTCATTAGAAATGTTATAAACCAAAAAAAAGCGGACTACTCACGTTGATTAGAATATCACTGTAGCGGTCCTTCTGTTGTAGAAGCAATGAATTCGTAGATCCCACAACGTAGGACTTTGTACCATCGTCGGCCAACAGATCCAGCTGTTGAAGAGGGGTATAGGGCCCGAACATGCTTCCCTGGAAGGAGGGTTAGGGTCCAGTCGGAATTCCTACTTGAGGACAACGCATACCTTTCCAAAGATCTGCAATGGTAAACCCATGTATGCCAGCACTATCGAAAGATTAGCAACTCCATAATTGAAGGTCGGACTTGAGAGATGCCTACAAGAGCTGCGATCACTAGTCTTAAGAGAAGTTGGCTTCTCGACGCTCTGTGCATAACTGTCGAATGAAGGGTCTGCGCAGTCTTCCAAGTGGTTGATAAGACCGGGTATTAAGGATATAAGTGAAAATTGGAGCATGCATAATCTTTCACATCGTGTACCGAAGAAAAGCATCTTCATCAATCAGCAAGATTCGTTATAAAGCTCCCATCGAGGGAAGAAGATGCCGTACCTTGGGCTGCAATAGCAATGCCTTGAAGAGTACTAAAGTCTGGTACTTAAATTCGTGAATCATTTCTCGTAGAGAAAGACCTTAAGTCCAAGTCAGTCAAATGTCGCGAATCAAAGCACCGGGAGAATACTAACCCAAGTTCTGATCTTTCGGGCCATCCTTCATCAAGCTTATCACCAAGCCCTCGTGAAATTTCTAGATCAAACATGAGCCAGCGGTTCATTTTTTTTCGAGTTCCTGGGGCCATATGTACCTTCAAAATATCGATATCGGAAAAGTCGCTATCCATCCACGGTTAGCTCAGCTCATTGGGCCATTTCGAATAAAAACTCTCTCATGTGGGATGTTCCAGCCACTCCCCTACCCACAAGAGCTGTTTCCAACATACCGTTGAGCAAACCACGCCGTAGTTACGACAGAGAGCTTCTCGCGCAGCTGGCCTACCCTCTGCGGGGAATCGGTGACGACAACCACCGCCTTCTGTACCGTAGATCTCGTGACGTCCGGCGGGCGATTGAGGAGGAGCTTGGCATCGAGTTGGCGCGAGCAGGCGATACCGAATAGAGAGGTTTCAGGAATATCGGGTGTTTCTCTGCCGCGTAGTGTAAAATAGGAGAATTCCTCGGTCGATCTAGTTATGAATCCCAAACATCAGCCGTTTGTTCTCCACTATAAAACCAAGGGCTGCCATGTCGACTCGAGAGACATGGCGCACTTTTAGGTATGGTCCGGGAGGGTAATGCCGTACAGGTGAGCGCCGTCGGACAGAGCCATGAACGGCAGCAATGACCAGTCATTGTCTGTGGCAGGGTTCGCGCCTTCGTTGGCGATGCAATGTTCGATTTCCGGGCCCCTGCAGTTTGAATTAGCCTATGTTTCAGTCGGGACATTGCCACGAGACAAGTTGTCTTTGGTAGCTGGGTCATGACTGCGGGGAAGCACGCACCGCGCATGGTGGAAATCAATCACCAGGACAATCGGATCTTGTTTATTCGGAATAGCCATGGAGGCGGTCGTGCGGGGAAGAGCAGAGATTGGGGATAGCGAGTATAAGAGTTAGGGGGGGGTTCTCCACGGCCCAAATTGTCCCCATAAAAACACGAGCGCAAGGGAGCTGGGGTCAAAAGGAGAGAGCAAGTTCCATGTACGGAGTAGTTATGGCCTCCCGGGGATTTTGATAGGCTATCGCTCACGTGTTGATTGCGGGCGGTGTGTCCCACCCCGAGGTCCCACTCAGCCCCGCGGTGACCTTACCAGAAGCCTTGGTGGTAAGGTAAGAATAGATTAGTATTTTAAGATGGCTAACTAACCTACAGATAGAATTACAAGTGATAGAGGAATGAGAAATTGTTCTTTCTCAAATCCGATTGTACCGTTTGGTAATGAAATGGTATCCCCTGATCACCAGCCGATTCTTAACGACGCCGAACTAGCTATGGACAATTGGCTTTCAATAGGCCAATAAAAGAAAAGTAAGGAAAAGTAAAGCAAAGTAAAGACGAACATGCCCACTTTGCAAAGCTTCTCAGTTAAAACAGATGTATGATTTGGGTGCTGTGCCTCCCTGGTTGGAGGTGGTAAAATTAACCGGGGAGGAAAACAATCCCAGAAAGGAAAAGGAAGAAAGAGAAAAAAAACACGAGTGCAGAAAAAGATACTATGGTAGAAATTATGGTTCGTTGGATCATGAAATTCATGCGAAATTCTGGGAGACGCCTCCTTGCACGGAACCACCAGAGACCAGAGCCTGGCCAGCCTCGGTTCCTTGGTCAATATTGTGAAAGTCGAGAATTTCCGAGTACCTATTGGGGAAAGAAAAGAAAAATGTCAGCCACGTAATAAACTCATGCACACAGGGGTTACCCACATCATGATCTTCCAGGTATCCACAGGTAGGTCGGCATCGTTGAACGACCAGTCGAACTTCTCTTGCGCGACCGGCTCGTCGGTGGGGTCATGGTACGGGGCCAGGTATTCATGCGCCAGCGCTTCTCCGGCCCGGACTCGCTTCTTGGGGTCGAACACCAACATCCGCTCAAGCAGATCAACGGCTAAAACTTTGTCAACGGAGGCACACTAGGGGTGGGGCTGTGGGAATCGAATGTCACGAACCATCGGCATCGGCATTTCGGAACTTATTCGCCAGGGGTTGGCGCTCGCGCTTCGGCAGGGACTTGACAAATCGCAGGGTCTAGATCCAGAGGAAAGAAGAAAAAACAATTAGCCAAGGTCCGGATCTTGCGCTACCTCATGACAGGGTGGGACTCACGTTTTCGCTGCAGATAGTCTGGATCACATCGTCGGGCGGAGTTCCCAGTAACTCGGTGATGATCGAGAATTGGTTGACATGGTCCTTTCCGGGGAAAAGTGGCTTGCCCTCCAGCATTTCGGCGAAGATACAGCCCGCACTCCAGATGTCCACCTCAACGTCGTACTTCTGCCATGTGAGCATGATTTCAGGCGCACGGTAGTATCGCGTTGACACATAGCCAGTCATTTGCGGGTCTTGAATGCGAGCGAGGCCGAAATCGCAGATTTTCAAGTCGCAGTTCTCATTGATCAGGATATTGCTGGGCTTCAAGTCGCGGTGGACTACACCAGCGGAGTGGACATATTTCAATCCACGCTGTGGGCAGTTAGTCAAAGAAAGAATCGCAGAAGATCCCAACGAGAAAGATCCCCAGGCATTTATAGACACCAAAGCAACTCACGAGAATTTGATAGAGGAAGTACTGGATGAATTGTTTCTCAAGAGGGCGAGAGGTAAGCAGTCGGTGGAGGTCAGTTCCCAGAAGCTCGGTAACAAAGTAACTAAAGTCATTAGTCTGCGTGTCGGTGTCCAAGCGTATCATATACGACATACATATCCTCAAGAGGAGAGATAAAGATGTCGCTAAGACTGATGATCTGTGTGAGGCGTTCAGTACATGTGAGCTAGCTCTGGAGAAGGGTACATTGATACGAAAAGAACCCACATTTTCATGGCGGAGGTGCTTGAGAAGCTTGAGCTCTCGGTAGGTCCGTTTCGATAGAACCGGAGTGCTGAATGGCTTCATGATCTTCTTGACGGCGACTGGCTGGCCGGTTAATTGGTCGCGCGCCGAACTACCAAGCACATGATGGTTAGCGGATGGGTGAATATTGCCGACGGGGGGCGCGCGTGCGCGCGCCAGAACAGAGATGGAGCTGATTCTCACCACACGAGGCCAAAGGCACCCATGCCCACCGGCTGCAAATCCGAGTACCTAGAAGAAGAAAAAACACGATCAGCAATGGGATTCACGCGCCCGGGCGGGGCACAGGGCAAGGTACCGGCTGGTAATCTCGAAGGTGGTGCCGAAGATCTGGGAGCGAACGAATTCGGCCATAATGAAAACGAGGCAACTTTTGTGTTTTTTTTGTTGAGAAAAGACAGACACAAGACGAAGAGGAAAGGGGTGAAGCCGACGAGGGGCCTTGGAAACGTATGTGGGGAAGGGCCTTCTGCGGTGAGGCAGAAAACAAGGACGATGACGTTTGCGAGCAGGTTTCTGCTTGCTGCGGCTGACTCAGTTGGGTCTAGCCTACTCTGTACATCCTATTGTAGGAGTACTAGTAGTGTTACGGAGTACAGTAGATATAGTGATTCTAATTGATGATTTAATATATAGGCTAAGTCCATCTAAATATTCAATAAACTATATCGAAATACTTCATTCCTCTTAACTCGCTATTCCGCTAAAACCCTAACCCCTACCAGTACCCTAATTTATACACACTCGAGGGCTCTTGTCCCCACTCCGTGCGGCGCGTCTCGACCGGTCCATTGCCGTCCACATTGCCCGGGAACCAATGTGTGCGACCCGCATACTAAAGGGGCAGAGGTAGGACTACTCTGTACTCCCTACATTCTCATACTAGAGTACTAGTTTTGATCTCAATTCAAAGTCCCCTACTACAATATATAGCAATCTGAGGATTCCTAGGTCCGAATCACTAATAACTCGCGCTTAGCCCGCTCCCGGCACCTGCTGCGTTGTGCGGCTGTCATTCGTCCTAGTCCTAGTCTTGGTCCCGCCAATGTCAATGCGATGTCAATCAATGTCAATGCCAAAGTCACCGGTCCAGCTTACACCACTCATGCAGCCTCGGATATCAGAACCGAGCGTCGCAGCTTGCAGACGTTCCAGACTGAGATGATCAATGATTTTCCGAGATACATACATGGGACCCCAGGATAAGTGGAGACCCGGTTTCCAGGATCGATCGATATGGTTGACAGCCCTGGAAAGCCACAGGGGATGGCATGGAGCCTTGTGCTGGCACATGTGGACAGCAAAGAGTCCGGTGGTGCTAGTACCCAGTCGTAATGCAGAGATTTGAGACAAGAGCCACGCGACGGGCATCCAAGGCATTTTTCCGTCCGGGTAAGACTGTTGTGCGCCCGGCGGGGGAGTGGAGGGGTTCATATTTTGATACCCATCTTGGTTGGTGTGTACCATTCGGTGTGAGTGCAGGCGTTTTCAAGTTGAAGTTCAAGTTGAGTCCTGGAGTACTAGATTTCGGAAATATATTGCAGGACTACTCTACCCGTGACTACTGTGATAACCTCCAGGGCTAATCTGCACCTATTACTGGCCTTAATAGCAGGGAGATCTAGGAGTTCAGAACTCATAATAGTTTCCAAAGGTTAGTAGTACTACTACATTCCAAGGATACCACTATGAATACAATTAATACCTGGCCCTCTGTAGCTCAATCCCGTGCAGGTGTTCACATTCCCATGTAGAACGTGGGGAGGCACGTGCCAAGCCGGAGCTGTGGTGGAGAGTCGTGACGCACTTCCAAAGTGGACTCTCACCGGCGTAAAATAGCCATTTGATGGGGAAGATACCGTGCAGTACAGGTGCAGAACATTCAACAACTTGAAGCTATGTGATTAAATAATCATATTACTATTGGAAGGCATCTGGGCAGAGTAATATACTACTGTGTTACTACTACACATATCTGAACACCCCTATCTCCTAGAATAGCCCGTTCTGCCTAGTCCAGCCAACGCTGTAAATTACCTTTTGGCCCCAAAGCGAAAAAGAAAGGAAAGGAAAGGCAAAAAGGACTCACACATAGTAAGACTAATAAGGAGACGGGCACTGGTAGACTGTACTAGTACTGGCACTGAGACTCCGCCCCGGGGCGTAAAACAGTACGTTACTTAAGTTACCGTTACTTAACTACTTCAAAGTTACCCCCCAAACTTGAACCCGCTCTTCTGCCCATCTCCACTCGTGGAACTCCTCCCCCCTCCCCAACGACCCCCGTTGCTTCCTTTGATCGCTCTTAACTGTCATAGCCTGATAACCCTTCTATACCCGGTAACCCAAACTCAACCACACGACCCCTATACGACTGACACGGAAACCCGGCGACTTGGTCTTACCGTAACATCACCTCCTCGGCGCCAAGTAACCCTTTTACGCTTACCTTACCCGACCTTTCTCGCTCCCAACTTCCCCCGCCTTAACACTTTCTCCTTCAATCTTCAACCATCGCAAACTCTCCACTCGTCGCGAGTCTCCCTGTGTCTCCCTCCTCTATCCGCCCACACCAATATCCCTCATTGTCTGTGGCGGGTGGCCGTCCTCCCACTCAAGCGAAGGCTGCGGCCGTCCCGTCCGGCTGACACTGATCGCTTTTGCGCGCGGTCAACCCGGACTTGTTGCCCGCTGGCCTTGGGCCTAATACAATACACACAGTCACCATGGGGATGTGTTTTAGTGCCGAAAACACTGGGGATGTGGAACAGAAGAAGAGAAGTCAAATGATCGATCGGAAGCTTGAGGAAGACTCCAGGCGGTTACGCAGGGAATGCAAGATCCTACTGCTGGGTAGGTTGAACCCCCAAGCTCCTTTTCCCTTTTCCCTTTTCCGCCCATGGTCTTCTGGAGAATCATAGGCTGATATATGATATAAATTGCAGGCTCCGGAGAGAGCGGCAAGTCCACAATCGTCAAGCAGATGAAGATTATCCACCAGAATGGTTACACCGTCGACGAGCTGGCCTTGTACCGGTTGACTGTCTTCAAGAACCTCTTGGATTGTGCCAAGGCCCTCATCGAAGCATATCGCCTCTTTTCCCTAGAACCCTCCAGCCAAAAGGTTCAAGAATATATGACCTTCCTCGAAGAATATCACGTCGACCCGGACCCCAATACTCCGCTCGACCCGAAAGTGGGGGATGCGATCACATACCTTTGGAATGACCCATGCACTTCAACCGTTCTGGAGCGTCAAAATGAGTTTTATCTTATGGACTCCGCGCCATAGTGAGTACCCCGTCGGTTTTCTCCCTGTTGCCTATAACCTGGATTACTGACGTGCGATTAGCTTTTTCGACGAGGCAAAGCGAATAACGGCACCGGACTACACACCCGACGTTTCGGATGTCCTACGAGCAAGAACAAAGACAACCGGTATCTATGAAACGCGATTCACAATGGGTCAATTGAGTATACAGTACGTGGAAAATCTCGATCAAAACTCGACTCACTTTGAGCCTCACTAATGCGACCTGCAGCATGTTTGACGTTGGCGGCCAACGTAGTGAGCGCAAGAAATGGATCCACTGTTTCGAAAACGTTACGTCTATCATCTTTTGCGTTGCTCTTAGTGAATATGATCAGATGCTTTTGGAAGAGAGCAATCAAGTAAGTCCCTTCTCTGAGACCACAGCACATCCCCACCCCAGCCTAACTAATACATCTCAGAATCGAATGATGGAAAGTCTGGTTCTCTTCGACTCCGTTGTAAATTCTCGATGGTTCATGCGAACAAGTATCATCCTCTTCCTGAATAAGGTCGATTTATTCCGGCAAAAGCTGCCTCGCTCACCGTTGAGCAATTATTTCCCTGACTATTCAGGAGGGAATGATGTCAACCGCGCAGCGAAGTATTTGCTATGGCGTTTCAACCAGGTGAACCGAGCGCATTTAAACCTCTACCCGCAGTAAGTTTCATATCTCCACCAAAAAAACGAAGTGGCCTATTCTGATGCACCATCTTGCAGTCTAACCCAAGCGACCGATACCACAAATATTCGACTCGTCTTTGCAGCGGTCAAGGAAACCATATTGCAAAACGCCTTGAAGGACTCGGGCATCCTATAAGCTTGGCCACCACCTCATTCTCAAAACTCTCCTGCTTCCCACCCTTTCACTCCATCTCACGAAAATCACCTGCCTTATTTGATAACCTCATACCACTGAGATATTGGTTCCTTTACTCTCTCTTGAAGGGTATTCAACCTTGGGCATTCCTACAATCTCAACAACATCTCCTTGTCGACAGTCGACTCTCTTTGCTCTTACTCTGGAATAGCTGCTGGCGTTCACGGCGCATCTTTTTCTCTTGAAATATTTCCCAGGCGCTGGTTAAGTGATACCCCATTCGGTATCTACGCGGCTATCTACTCTGGATTCGGCTTTCGCTTCCGACGGTGGAGTCTTTCAGGCTCAGCTCAGTTCTAGTTATGAATTCATCATTGGATTTATCGCTCTATCCTTCCAACCCCAACTTTGAACGACAGGTCTCCTTTCAACTTCGATCTCAAGAGAGCCCCGCACCCCTCCCCCCCATCGAAGCGGGATTGCCGCATCCCTGTTAACACGCTCTCAATTTCTCAAAAATACTTGAACACCGGCCCTGGCCATTATCCGTATATTACCCGATTCGGAACCCGAATCTTTTCTTCCATTTGTGTTATCTTTTCTCTTCTTTTTTTTTGATTGTTTCTCTCAAGCCTCTTATCGGATGCATACTATGGCGGATTCTGCTTGTTTCCCTTTTTTTTTTGCTGTGATTTCTTCAAGCTGGGATCTATCTACCTATCTATCTATTGAACCCTGGCCTTGTCGCCTGCTGTGTTTTATCTTCTCTTCACTTTTATATCTCCCTTGAACTTGATTCTAAGCGCTCTAGGCATGTGGTGACTTTTTCTCTTCTCTACAGAAGCTGTATACTCTGGCAAGTTGATCGAATTTCTTACCTTTTCCAATCGGCCCTTTACTAGTATCTTTCCCATAGACCGGTTTCGGGAAGGAAATTAGTATGGCTATGTCCATACTATCTCTCGTTCGATTGTTCTAGCTGAGGCACCAAGATATTTGGGTCTATCTAGCTGCGATTTTCTTTCATTCTTTTCCCTCTCACCTGAAGATTCGCCCACATCTGAAGACCTAACCTACGTATTTGACGAATGGTCCATCAATAGTAACAACCTGCGAATTCCAGGTTACTAAACTCCTCAGACTCGGATTCCGTCATGCAGGATCCCAGGCCTGTATTGATTTCCCCGCAATTTGGAGAATGATCAAATCCTTTGCTAGGAGAAGATCGATCTACAAGCCGCGCATTGGCTACAACCCGACCCAAGCATACATGATACGATACCTCAGCCTGCATGGCCAAAGCCGGCCCCAAAAACTCGACCCTGACCTCCGGACTAAGACTGGAGGTGGGAAGGGGGCTAATACTCACCGCAAGCGATGGGCTTTCGATCTGGTGCATTCAGGTCCGACTGGGATGAGAACTAGATGGGAGTACCCGGGGTCGGTCGAGGAAGGTAGGTATTCCGGGTCCTGAGAAAAAAAAACCAACTCATCGAGTTTTAAGGTTCTGGAGCTCGACGGCTGACACTGCGGGGTGGGGCAGCTTCTCGTGGAGAAATCATTGGATGAGAATCGGCCGAGCGACCGGCCGAATATGGTTGAGATCGAGGGAATGCATCGTGGGTTATGAAAAAATGATAATGATACCCGTCATGACTGAGGAAGGCAGCTTTGACGACACCTTCTAGCGCGGGGACGAGGAATGATATGAGATGGTTCATTGATTTTGGAGTATGTCAACGAAGTCTTGCCCTCCCCGCACCTATGCCAGCAATGATGGGGCGAAGGTTCGTCGGTGGCTGACAGGGCCAGAGCTGGTTGCGTGTTCTCCCAAAGGAGGGACAGGGATATGATCTCTTTGCTCACGCGTCAGTAGGGAGTAGTGAGTGGGCTGTGAGCCGAGGGCGGAGATGGGGTGAGCGGGGGATGTGAGCACGGGTAACTGGTGATGGTTCGCTTTTATGAGCTGAGGGGGGATTGTGGAGTGGTGAGTGGTTGTGGATCACGGGAATCGAGGTGGCCTGATGCAGGAGCTAGAGGAGCTGCAAATCAGGGAAAATACCCAGCGTGAGCGAAGAGGAGGGCAGCATATTGCATCAGCACGGACAGCTGCAGGCCGTTGGCTCGAGCGTCGATCCCTCCGAGCTTCCCCACTTGAGGTATACCAGCTCACTAGTAGAATCAGAGAATCAGGAAACATCAGAGAATCATCGAGTATTGAAAAGGGAGCCAGGGGAGATGGGCTGATAAGGTCAACCATGGTAGAGATGGGATGAATAGATGGTAAGATCTCATAGGATGAT